AGTTTGTAGGTGGGGGGCCGATAGTAGATACTATAGGACGAAGGGGTGTATCTACTTTATGTATTTTTGGTAAGCCGTATGATCTTGGTGGCCTGGCAGCAGAAGGTTTCAACGAAAACTGTTTAGATTGATCAATTAATGCGGTTGAATCAGAAATTATTTTGTTGGTTTGTGTGACGAGGCTGTTGGTGGGATCTCTTTTTATTTTTGTATAATTACCATCGAGATTCGTTCATGAGGCTATCCACATATACAAGCACAGAGACAATTTCAACCGAGAAGATGGATTCTATCTTAGCAATCATTGGAAAGATTTGATAAACCATTTCAGGTTTTAATTGATTGTTCATGCTTACAGTGGCTTTCAGACAGCATACATTATACAAAATTTCGTCTCCCACCTCCTCTTTTCAGAATATAGATGGACTAGTCCTGGGTAAATTGCCAAATCGTTGCGCGTGGCGCTAACGTTTTTTTATAAATAAATAAATGCGCCGTTTAAAAATAAATTTATGCGAACCAACACACCTGAAGACGACCGTTTGAGTTATGGTCGAAACGTCGTGAGAATTTTTTATTGTTTTATATATTTTATTATTTTGTTGTTTCTCTTCAACGTGACTTTACCGAAAAAACTAAGAATATAATTCTAGATTTGTTATTTTAATTTTACCTACGTAACTTTACCGAATAGAACCAAAGAGTATAAATCCAACCACCCATTTATAAAAATTTTAACATGCGTTTTTCTGGATTGTGTTGTTGTTATTCTGTCTCTCACTGTTCAAATAAACCTACCAATAAAATTATAGACTGATCATTTTTTTGTCAGTGGGCAAACGTACAGAATCAGCAGGGGATCAAATACTTTCTCCCTCACTGTATGAAGGCCGGCACGGCGAACAATTGGGTGGGTAGCCAGCACCACGCTTGGCCGCCTTTGTCTGCCCAGCGGCGACGTTTACACTTCGCTCCCAGGTACTCATTTGAGGCTAGGGGAAGCCTGGGACCGGTTCAAACCACCGTCACTTATGTTGGCCGTGAGTGGTGAATTGTACTCGGAGTCGCCAGGTTCTTGAATGCAATGTAATGTTAATCACTGCACCACTGCTCCCCATGATATAAATACACATCCTGCTCACGGTTACTCCATTCACGCCTTTCCGACAGGACGCAGCACTCTCACGGCACCCCTTTTCGATGCAGAGATGAAGAATCTTAGCAGCGTCCAACCGCAAACAGCCGAAACATCACTCCCGTGTCACCGGAAAAAAGAGACCTCATTTTGGTAAAACCGCGTAGAGCCAAAAGACACGTTCGGTAAAGCCGCGTTGATCAAGGTTCCCCTGTACAATGTCATTGCAAATGTTGTAAATGGAATGGGCAATACAAGGACAAAGAATGTAAGCGACAATATGTATTGCTTTTTTTATTAAATCGGGACCCCCATGTATCAACAAAGTGCCTGCTCTAATGCTATTGTTAATGTAATTCACGTGTGTGTTAAATGACATACATTATTCACCATACAATACGATATTTTCTGAAACTGTGATTGCCAATAAGGTACTCCTGGTATGATGGGTATTGTTGCTGAGCAATGGAGTAGTGGTCCGGTGCAGTCTATGGTGAATGTGGGGGCCGACGTCCACCCCACCGTCCTCGCTAGGCAGGTGGAGCGCGACGTCCGCTCCTTCCGCTCCCTCCTCCGTCGCGTCGGTCGGCTCCTGCCGGGCCCCCGCCGACCAAGTGATCAGGCCCCACACGCTCATGCCCTCTCTGGGGGACATACTCGTGCTGCTGGCTCACAGCCGCATGGAGTTAACCCACACACCCGCGGACGCCACAGCTAACGCTAACGCAGCGCACAGCGGTACGCCCACACCTGCGAGTGATTACTTCACCGCGCGCCCGTGCCGCGGCTCCGCATCCACTCTCGCAGCACGTTTTCCCGACCAGTCGCTCCACACACAAATCACAGACACCACCCCGATGCTCTGTGCTAACTTTTGTTCGCGGCGCAAATATTTTGCGAGAAGAGCCTAGCCTACTGCTGCCCAGGTGCCCAGTCACTCAAACGTCCTACCACGTACCTCGAAGCTGTACTCACGACATTGCACGGATGCTGTGGAGGTCAGAGGGAGGACGAGAGAAAACTTTACCTATCACTGCCTCGTAGCAGCACTCGCTGGCATCAAATGGATGCTGCGAGCAGCTCGAGGAGGCAGGACGGCAGGGAGTGGGTCTTGGCGGTCCAGAGGTTGAAGACAACAGGCGGTGAATTGTCCCAGGCTCCCCTTTTTATCCCCCTAACTTCAAAAGCCCGGGGCCGCGCCGCACCGCGCGGCCAATCCTGCACCTAGCTGCGACCACCGCCCACCTCCATTATATGGAGTGCTGCGCCGGCGACCCTGCTACCCTTTGTCCATCCAGCCATATTCCTTCTTTTGTGAAGCACCCCACACACCTGCGAGTGTGCATTCGGTATGGGGGTTGTGGGGGGGTCGTGGCGCTGCGATCCCCCGATTTTGTTGTCTGCGTTTCTCATTTTCTATTCCCCCCAGCGCCTCCCGATGTCGTGTATGCGGCTGGCCCGGTGAACTTTTTTGCACCCATACAATTTCAAGCCAACTCAGAGGCACCGCAATGTGATCTGTCCTGCGAGGGTCGGCCAATCTCCTGGCACCGGGAAACCGTGGGACTTTCCTCCTAGGGACCCTTCGGATGAAAACCCGTTGCGCCAGGTGATCCCCCGTCAGGACACTACGTGTGTGCGCTGCGTGTGTCTGCTCAGGGTGGGCGCCAGTGGGGAGTCGTGGTGCTTGCAGAGTTGCTCCGAGACCGTGGCACCATATGAATATCAGTGCTGATGAGCCTCAGAAAATTAAAACCGGTCCAATTTTTTTCATTTCTTGCTTGAACAAATACTGCTGGCGGGAGAGAATAGATACAAAGGAAGACGCAACAACCAAGAGAACAAAATGTTACTTGACATTACTTTTTATTTATCGGAACCGATTCAGAACTCCTCTGATCGATGGCGATGTGGGGTGGATGAACATTGATATATCCTGTTATCGGGGATTTTTCTTTTTACGGATAATAGGATTACTTTTTCACGCAATATCCCTGTATCCACTGTAAAATATATGTAAGGACAACAGAAATCCGGTTATATAATGCGGGGCGGAGGGGAAATGCGTTTTAATCACGTACGTATGTTGAACTTCTTTTGCTCCGAATGTAGCTATCCGTGTTAATCGGAGGTGTGGGACAGTAAGAATGGGGATGCGGACAATAGGAGTTATCCTCTCATCTCCAAAATAGTTATAATTATTCAGAGTTCTAAGAATGTATCTCTCTAATAGCTGTCAACCCATACGGTTTACCCGTATTCTTGTACAGGGAAATTGAGTTTTCAGGTCCATACAGTGTACAGCCGTTTCAATACGGGCAACATTTTTTTCCATTTGATTGTTTCTCCCTTGTGATGGGACTTTGTAGGATGAACGTTGAGATTTATAAGGGCACATGGTGACCAATAAGGTCTGAATTTCGATTTAAAGCTTTCGTGACCGCAATGATTCATCTTATTTGGTTCTTTCGGTAAAGTCACGTAGAATGAGAATAAAATAATAAATTGATAAAATAAAATAACACAATAATTGAGGCTTAAAGGCCGTGATCTGAACGTGGCTCTTTCACTCCAGCACTGTCCTACCAGACAGTCTCGTCCCTTCACCTGATGAAGGCCGCTTGTGTTGTGGCCGAAACGTCGTGAGAATATTATTGTTATTTTATTTTATCATTTATTATTTTATTCTCATTCTACATGACTTTACCGAAAGAACCAAAGAAGAAGGTCTGAATTGGTCTGTAATAAGATAGAGCACTGATAAGGGGTTGACAGATACGTTAATCGGGGGTTGAGGGACAAATATAATGGGGATGCGGATAATGGGAGTTATCCTATCTCCAAAATAGCTTTAATAATTATTAAAAGTGCTCTGACTGTATCACTCTTATCCAGCCCCTTTTCAGTGCCTACCTTATTATTTGGTTCTTTCGGTAAAGTCACGTGACTTTACTGAAATAAGCAAAGAATATGAATTCCTGCAGTCACGAAAGCTTCAAATCAAGATTGAACCAAAGAATATGAATTCCTGTAGTCACTAAAGTTTTTAATCAGTGCCCTAGCTTATTACAGACCAATTCAGACATCATTGGTCACCCCGTGCCCTTATAAATCTCAACGTTCAGCCTACAAAATCCCATCACAAGGAGAGAAACATAAAAGTGACATTTTTAAAATGTGCCCGTAACGAAACGGCTGTACGCCGCATGGACATGAACACTCGGACATGAACACTCAATTCCCCTGTACAAGAATAGTGGGTTAAACCGTGTGTTCATAGTTCCAATTATTTTGGTATAGCCCTGTGAGCCATTCGGCTCTGGAATCGGGTGCAACCGCAACAAACATAAAACAAAAACATGAACAAGAAAACATCTTAAAGTGACTATGTGACTGTGCAAACAGAAAATCCAGGAAAAAAAACATCAAAATATTCCTGAAATAGCACCGTACACCAACGCTGTGTGCAAAAATCCCAGTGGGAAGCAAGTCAAACAACAACAACAACAAGCATAAGGCAACTAAGATTAAGGCCATCAGTCTAACTCCGTACTACAATAAACAAAAACATGGCCAAACAAAAAAAAACGTTTTCGAAATCACCAAAACAAAGCCATAAATGCAATGATCATAGGGACTGTGACCGATTTTTTTTTTTTACAATAAACTACATAAATAACGTGTGTTGAATAAGTTCTGTTGATCGGAAGGCGCGGGACAATATGAACGCGGATAATCGGAATTATCCTCTTATCTCCCGAATAGTAGTTCTAAGAATCATTCAGACTTATAAACACACAAAAAAATATCTATCTATCTATCTTCCTGTTATCCGCAATTGCATTGGTTGCGTTTCTCAGGCTTCAAACCCTTCAAGCCCCCACGTGGACTTAAAGGGCCGCGGCCGCGTACAAAAGGCAGTCGACGCCTATGAACATTCCGCCCTGCAGACCACTTTGTTACACATTCTTAAATATCCGTTGCTCAAGCTCCTCTGACGACGCGAACAAAAAGGCGAATTGCGCAAGTCGTTGATTCTGTCGCGGGGGGGGGGAGAGCCTGGAGTGGAAGAGAGGCCGGGAAGAGGAGATACGGAGGAGATCGCCGGTGGCTTGGGTGGGGGGGGAGGGGCGGGGTGGGGTGGTGCCTCGCCGGGCCGAGGTGCGCCGCGCCCGGTAGGGAATCTAGGAAAGTGGCGTGGTGCCTTTAATGGTAGGGCCTTGATGTGCGGCATGGAAATTTTTTTTTGGGGGGGGCTTTCTTTAATTTGTGGTTGTTTTAGCAGCGTCGCTGCCTTGTGCCATGGCCGTTGTGCAAGCTCGGTGGTGTCGAGGGATATTTAAAATGTTGGCACATGGGGGGGGAGTGTTGGTCGCGTTAGAGGGATGACAGTGGAGTGAGTGGTTGGGCAGGTGAGTGTGTTTTTTGTGTTGAAATTCACGTGCGGAACGATATTGGGGGCGATTGCTCATGGGTCCAAGCAAAAGGCACCGTTTCATACAGTTGTTTTTGTTACGGTTATTGCTATGTCAGCGTTGTCGGTAGTAGGATCAGCGAGGGTTGGGTTTTGTTCTGCTCGGGAATGGTAATTAAAAATTAAAACTCAAAAGTTGTCACTTTGGTAATTCTCGTCCTGCATGTGGTTGTAATACGTTCAGGAGCTACGTGCCGAATGTTGAGGTCTGCTGGCCCACGAGATGGTCCTTTTGACATTCCTCCGTTGAAGAGGCGGAGACTGCAACGATTTGCAATGCAGTTCCGTTTTGGTTGCGTGGCCACAGTCGCACCGTGGCTTGGCTTTAATATACCTCTTGTGTATCTCGACGAGCCTCTCTATGTACGTATCTCTTTGCGTCTATGGGTTGCGAATATGGTCCATAGTTTGTGTTGCATGGCCACAATGGTACTCCTCCTGTAGGGGGCCACAGTGGCGACATTTAAACCACGTCGCCTGATATACAAGAGGAAGTGGGTTCCATCTCGATCCCGTTGTTTACAGTATTTGGAGTTTGCATGTGCTTCTTACCCGTGGTCGCGTGGATTTATCCGAGGGTCCTCAGGTTTTTGTTTCCTCCATATTTAGAATGAGCATGCGTCTGGAGCATTCGGCCGCTATACATTGCCACATGATGAAGCCAACGTTGTTGTTGAGCTATCATTCGTTTCGATTTAAAGCTTTCGTGACTGCAAGGATTCATCTTCTTTGGTTCTTTCGGTAAAGTCTCGTCCCTTCACCTGATGAAGGCCGCTTGTGTTGTGGCCGAAAGGTCGTGAGAATTTTATCGTGTTATTTTATTTTATCAATTTATTATTTTATTCTCATTCTACGTGACTTTACCGAAAGAACCAAAGAAGACCATCATTCGTTGTCAGGTTTACTTCTAAAAATTAAGAGCTACGTAGCTCAGCGTGCCTTACCTGGTAAAAATTATGAAACAGCTTTTACGGTTTTAGTTTAGTTTCAAACAATTCGGTTTGTCTCGAATTTTCCCATTCATGGAGGAGATGGTGGCTCCATTGGCCTGCTTTAATGGTCTGTGATGCATTCGCACTTCACGTGTTCCCTGCCGCACTGGCATCGTCGATATAGCAGCCGAGAGTTAATTCTAATTCTTTCATTCAAATATTGAACCGGGTTATTCCTTGGGATGGAACTGTTTTGCGAGGGCGGTGTAGGGAATGATTGATTGCACACACATTGAAAATGAGGATGTGTAAAGGAGTCGACTTGGTGGAACGTGTCGTCTTCTTAACGCACCTAGATTACAATGCGGGGCCTGTTTCCTTGATGCATTCTATCACGAAAAGTATCGCACCACTTGAAAATGTGTTCTGCACAAGTAAATACCGGTTGACAGAATGGTCACCAGTGTGCACGATTATAAGAATAGATTTACCGTAAACCAGTGTGTAGAGTAACACGATACAATAAGCACATCCTGAACTCGGTTTTACATCTTGCGCAAGTTTTTCCATTCTGGTGTCTTTTCTCGTCATTCGCAGATTGGCATTTTTCTGAACTGCTGTACTATTTAGCAACTTGGGTAAAATCTTCAAATATTTCCCAGTGAGGTTGTGTTTGCTTGTTTTTATGCTTCGTAATAATTTGAAAACACCGTCATGCAAACAGCACTTGTGTGGATACTGCTGTAAACTCGCCAGTAATGTTGTTTGCTTTGTTCAGTTATATTTGTATCTATTAATGCTAATTCGTCTTTTGGTATGTAAAGGTTCAGCCCTGCCTATACTTGTTCATGACACTGCTGGTAGAATGGGCTCCACTAGATTAGGGGCTCAATAGATCCCCTCAATTGAATATTTGGCCTCATCCTCAACGCTGGCCACATGCCTCTGAAGATATGGGGGAGTACCCACACTTTACCACACCACACATTACCTTCTGATTGGTCAACTGTGGTGTAGCCATTTACACTGCTGGGTAGATACAGTATAGGCCGCATGGATGAAATAAGTGTCTTGTTTAATCTCCTTGTCGGGAGATCAAACCGACTACCTCTGATTTGCAAGTCCATTGTGCTAACCTTTACACACCCCCTTTGCTACAGGAGAAGCTGATATGTCTGGTGTGAAGAGGTCATTTGAGGGGAAGGACCCCGACTATGAAGATGTGTCCACGGTTGTTCAGAATAAACGACAGCGTGTCATGGAGCAGTCGGGTATGATTGCCTCACGTATCCATCGTTCCATCTGCCAAACCCAGGGCTCATTTCAAATGCTGCATGTAAATACGGTGCAGTACAAACTTGCATATCTGACTCGTTGAGAACTGAGGTATAAGCAGATGTGTGAAGAGGTTGGATTTATGATCATCTGTAGGAAATTACAGTTACACCGTGCATATATACTGCACTGGGTGTGGCAGTTAATTGGTCAGGGTGGATATGTGACGGTCATTTATGTAATGTGCTGCACTGCACAATAATCATGCTATCACAAAAGTAATGTAGCTTTAAAGCAGAACCTGTGGAAGTGGTGCGAATGTGATTGGGGCCTTTCTCCAGAAAAAGAGTGCTGACGATGTTGATGACATTGGTACTGGTGAGACGCCTGACTTAAAAATGTATTGCCCACATTTCATCAGCAGACTATCGGCCCAAAACTTATATTTGGCATTGTCTATCATACATTCCACTGAATATGTTCATTGCCTCATTGGCCATGTAGCAGCAGAGTTTATGAATGCACACAAATTGAAAATTAGGAAGTTGTGCAGCATAATGAGTCAACGGAGTTCTTCTGGGTTACTAACCCATACGTTTAATTGTAGTTTTGGTTTTGCCTTGCTGTCAATGTTATGTATGTTGCACCATATGTAGCCAACCATGCCAATCGGAAGTGCGGGTGAAGGACGATGGGGGAAAGACATCGTGGGGCTGTTTTCGAGAAAGACATTTCATATTTCCTCTCGGTGCATTCGTGCATTTCTATAATGTGTTCGCATTACTTATCGCTGTCGACCCAAGTAAACAATTGTATCGTCACGTCCCACTGAGTTTCTGGAAATGTAGTCTTAATTCTGTAATGTGTGCTGGGGCTGTGTGCATGAATGGTCTTGTTCCGTGCCTCTGCAGCACGTGACGCCACTGTCCAGCGCATTGAAGCCATCATCCGCGAACAGTTTGCCCAGGAGGTGAAGAATAAGGAGCATGAGATTGAGATAATAGACTTGGTATGTGAACCTGTGACTGACAACCCATTCGATTTTATGAGCACTGCGTGTCTTTTTAGTGGTTGTGCTGTATTGGATATTTGCCAAGCCAAACCAGGACCAAACCGTGATACGCTGACCTCACAAGGCACCGGAATCTGGCTTATGACCAAACAGGGTCAGGGGCCTATGTTGCATCAGTCATTACACTTTACACTTGAACATTTGATGCTGACGTTACACGTCAATTGCGTGTGACATGAGTGGCACGACTCGCGTTCTTGCAGAAAAAAAGAACCTCGCGCCTCCTCAGCCACCCTGGGCTGGTTCGTTATTGCCCCAACGGCATCTTGGTTTTTTAGTGGGAAAGAAGTAATTGAATGGAATGAATGGACCCCCCCCCCCCCCCCCCCCCCGTAAAGCTTTTGACAGACTTGCGGAAAGTGCTGTTAGCAAGCACCTATTAAGGCCGGCATGGCACATGAAGCGGTGGGTGGCCTGCACCATGCCTGGCAGCCTTAGTGGGAAATAATTAATAGATACCTTTACACACACATATATAAATAGACTTTCAGTTCCACCATAGGCTCAATGTCATTGTGCATTCTCCCACCACATCCTGCTGCCCACCCCGTGCTGATGCAGCGGCTGGCCGAAGCGCGGAGAATGATGGACAAGCTTCGCGCCTGCATCGTGGCGAGCTACTATGCGTCAGCTGCACAGCCCAGAGTTTCAGAGGTCAGAACTGTTAGTTTTTTCTATTATTTTTCTCGGTTCCTCAAAGGCGTTTGACGTTACACAGTTTCAGTTTATTTATTTTGGCATAGCCCTGTGAGCCATTCGGCTCTTGAATCGGGTGCAACCACAACATACAAAAAACAAAAACACGAACAAGAAAAACATCTTAAAGTGACTATGTGACTGTGCAAACAGAAAATCCATGAAAAAAACCAGCAAAATATTCCTGAAAAAAGCACCGTACACCAACGCTGTGTGCAAAAAATCCCAGTGGGATGCAAGTATAACAAGAACAACCACAAGAAAACTTAGATTAAGGCCATCAGTCTAACTCCGTACTACAACAAAACAAACATGTCCAAACCAAAAAAACGTTTTCCAAATCAAAAAATAACGCCATAATTGCAACGTAATAAACTAATTGCAACGTAACAAACTAAACACAAATTACTCCTAAGGTGTGGCTTAGTTACACACCGCGTTCGTTTGTGTGAGCTTTAGCGCGTGCACTCGTAGGCGCCGCATTGGTGACATTTGTAAACGGAGGGTGATCCATTTACAGGTACGTCACTGATTTTAATTGGCTTTGGCAGGACATATTCCAAGAAGGAGATGATGACTAATGGTCAAGAATAGTGACAGAATGGCGGCCAAGGAGTAGAACGCATCCGGCACATCCATCATGCGGCGATGAAATCAGCTCCTGTGCAGGTGCTAGGTGAATTGTTACATTGCAGAAACCATAAGACATGGCGGTGGCGTGGGAACTCGTTCATTCTGCAGTGGATTAATCATTGATGATGATGATTACTGTCTGTGGGCCCAATGCACATGTCACACTGATTGGTGGCACAGCTGTTAGCGCACTGCGCTACAAACCCGGAGACTCGAGTTCGATTCCCACTCACGACCAACACGAGTGGCGATTATCTAAACCGATCCTGGGCCTCCCCTAGGTCGACTCGGCCTCACATGAGTACCTGGTGCAATATGTAAATGTCGCCACTAGGGAAACAAAAGCGGCCTGACGTGGTTCGGGCCACCCACCCCCTCGTGTGCCGTGCTGGCCTTCATAGGTGCTCGCTAACAGCACTTTGCCCCAACAGTCTGTTAAGACTACAGGGGATCTTTGTCTTTCTGCTTCACCTCGAGATGTACCTGTCTTTAGATGCTACAGTGAGGGAAAAAAGTATTTGATCCCCTGCTGATTTTGTACGTTTGCCCACTGACAAAGAAATGATCAGTCTATAATTTTAATGGTAGGTTTATTTGAACAGTGAGAGACAGAATAACAACAAAAAAATCCAGAAAAACGCATGTCAAAAATGTTATAAATTAATTTGCATTTTAATGAGGGAAATAAGTTTTTGACCCCTCTGCAAAAAACGTGACTTAGTACTTGGTGGCAAAAACCTTGTTGGCAATCACAGAGGTCAGACGTTTCTGGTAGTTGGCCACCAGGTTTGCACACATCTCAGGAGGGATTTTGTCCCACTCCTCTTTGCAGATCTTCTCCAAGTCATTAAGGTTTCGAGGCTGACGTTTGGCAACTCGAACCTTCAGCTCCCTCCACAGATTTTCTATCGGATTAAGGTCTGGAGACTGGCTAGGCCACTCCAGGACCTTAATGTGCTTCTTCTTGAGCCACTTCTTTGTTGCCTTGGCCGTGTGTTTTGGATCATTGTCATGCTGGAATACCCATCCACGACCCATTTTCAATGCCCTGGCTGAATGAAGGAGGTTCTCACCCAAGATTTGATGGTACATGGCCCCGTTCATCGTCCCTTTGATGCGGTGAAGTTGTCCTGTCCCCTTAGCAGAAAAACACCCCCAAAGCATAATGTTTCCACCTCCATGTTTGATGGTGGGGATGGTGTTCTTGGGGTCATAGGCAGCATTCCTCCTCCTCCAAACACGGCGAGTTGAGTTGATGCCAAAGAGCTCCGTTTTGGTCTCATCTGACCACAACACTTTCACCCAGTTGTCTTCTGAATCATTCAGATGTTCATTGGCAAACTTCAGACAGGCATGTGTATGTGCTTTCTTGAGCAGGGGGACCTTGCGGGCGCTGCAGGATTTCAGTCCTTCACGGCGTAGTGTGTTACCAATTGTTTTCTTGGTGACTTTGGTCCCAGCTGCCTTGAGATCATTGACAAGATCCTCCCGTGTAGGTCCGGGCTGATTCCTCACCGTTCTCATGATCATTGCAACTCCACGAGGTGAGATGCATGGAGCCCCAGGCCCGAGGGAGATTGACAGTTCTTTTGTGTTTCTTCCATTTGCGAATAATCGTACCAACTGTTGTCATCTTCTCACCAAGCTGCTTGGCAATGGTCTTGTAGCCCATTCCAGCCTTTTGTGTAGGTCTACAATCTTGTCCCTGACATCCTTGGAAAGCTCTTTGGTCTTGGCCATGGTGGAGAGTTTGGAATCTGATTGATTGCTTCTGTGGACAGGTGTCTTTTATACAGGTAACAAGCTGAGATTAGGAGCACTCCCGTTAAGAGTGTGCTCCTAATCTCAGCTCGTTACTTGCATAAAAGACACCTGGGAGCCAGAAATCTTTCTGATTGAGAGGGGGTCAAATACTTATTTCCCTCATTAAAATGCCAATCAATTTATAACATTTTTGACATGCGTTTTTCTGGATTTTTTGTTGTTGTTATTCTGTCTCTCACTGTTCAAATAAACCTACCATTAAAATTATGGACTGATCATTTCTTTGTCAGTGGTACAAACGTACAAAATCGGCCGGGGATCAAATGCTTTTTTCCTCACTGTATGCAAGTCCACACTGTAAATTACCGTTGTTGTATTCGGCCCTCTCCAGGGTGGCGAGCGCAAAAAGTCCGTGGAATCGACGGCGTTCAACCACCCGGCCATCCGCAAGTTCATGGACCCTCCCTCCAGGTCGTCCTCGCCTGCCAACCAGAGGTCGGACTGTTCGTCTCAGGGCCAATCGGAGACGGAGTCGATTTTCCAGCCGAGTGACGAGCGCGATGGGTGCCGGGATGAGAGGGAGCGGGCAACAGAAGAGGATCCAGACTTGGCCAGGGAGGAGAGACGCCCCTGCAGGAACACTCCCAAGGTGTCGCTTTGTTACTCGTTTTGAATGTGCTTTGTTTGTTCTTTAGGCTCACGAGGGCACACATCAACTTTGGTCAGTTGTGTAGCAAGAGAGGTCTATGATGACATGACCGAGTGGTAGCGGGAAGCAACCATCTAGCATTGTATTGATTAATGGATATAGATAATCACATGCCTCCCACCACATAAAGTTGCCTGGCTAAAATGATCATTTTCCATTTTAATAGCAATGAAAAATAGCATTGAAACCTAACATTCACACCTGCTTTTCACTGTGGTTGCCCTTCGCGTTAAATTCTCGATTGTGTTCGGCTATACAGGACACATTTGGAGTTCCAAGTGTTGCAGAGGTGGAAAAGAGAAGGACCTACCTCCAATTAGGGGATGATCCATCCCGTCTGTATTTCAAGAAAACGATCGTCGTTGGAAATGTTTCAAAGTAAGTCACTAGTTTTGCGCGTGGTACCGTTTGCATCGCGCACTTTCAGATGCACTTTTGCCGCCGTCTGGAATGCTCTTTCTTATTAGGAAGTCACTGGAGTAATGCACTTTTTATTTATCTAGATTGAAAAGTAATTTGTTTTTAGTTTGTTGTCCTTTTCCCACACCTCCGATTAGCATGGTTAGCTACGTACGGTGGGAAAAAAGTGCAGCATACATACATATGTAGTAAATGTCACTGTGTGTTGCCGGGCTTGCGAGGCCACGGCAGATAATGTGTTGTCATGATGTGCAGCCCGGTTACTGGGCATAGCACCAGCCCTAGCGGGGCTTGGGTGAGCGCTGGTCAGCACGGAGGCACCACGTACAGTGTGCCGTGCGGGCTCCCGGTGAGGGAGCGAGAGGGGACGTCAGCCAGCCAGGGTTATGTTGGGGCATGATACGCTGGTTGACCTGCCGACACGTGACCGGATGATATTGTAGGGGGGCCACTGGTGCACGGGGGCCGCTGGGCGGTCACGTGGTATAAAGGAGCTCTCGGGAGCCTTCGGGAAAGAGCTCGAGAGAGATCTAGAAGGTGGGTGGGGCGAGGGGCAGAGCCAGCCGCACCCCAGGCCGATATAACGGGGGCCCCGTGAGGGGCTCGGGGTTCTTCGGGTTGCTGGTGAAGAAGATCCACGTCAGGTTGAAGAAGCCTCTAGCCACGCGGTCCGGGACCCAGCTCGTGGTCCGGACCGGGATAGCGAACCGTGTCTAGTTCTGCCGTAGCGTGGTTAGATGGGCGTTCATCACACAAGGTTGCGTTATGTTGGTTGAGTTGGTGAAATAAATAGTGTTGCTCCCAAGACGGCGTCTGTGACTCAGTTGGACTCACTACACATACATTATCCCAGAAAAAAACAAGGCAACAAGTACAACAATGAAGCGATTAGAAATAAGAACAAAAATCGCGAAATACAAATTAGAGCCAAAACAACCACGTAACAGAAGAAATTGAAAACGGTGCACAAACATAAATTTACATTAAATACAATAAAATAATGTTATCGTTATGTCTCCGAGTATTTTACTTTTAAAAACCATTCTGAGGAAACTAAAGTTACAGAAACCTAAAAATGGATTTCGGGTGCGTTCATTGCACTGGCGTGTCAAGAGCTGAAGGATATCTGGCAATTCCACTCTCTCCCGCGCAGGTACATCGCGCCGGAGAAGCGCGAAGAGAACGACCAGTCGACACACAAGTGGATGATTTATGTGCGTGGGTCGCGACGGGAGCCACGCATCGACCACTTCGTCAAGAAGGTCTGGTTCTTCCTGCACCCGAGCTACAAGCCCAACGACCTGGTGGAAGTCAGGTACGAAATGATTAAAAACGGCTCTCTCAATGAAACCTTGCCATCGTGCTTGAAATCAGGCATGGGGAACAGTTCCTTAACGAGGGCTGGCTTCCAAATAGCTTTGGCGGGCCGCACATTGTCACGGATCTCAGTCGCTTGTGTCGTTAACACGAAAGGCTCTTGCAGCGACAGAAGTGGCTGCGTTTGCGCAAGTAGAAACGGTGTTGACGGGTTGAAAATGTTACCCCGCCAATACATGGCGACCGCTGCTCCGATGCTTATAAGTGACGGTTTGAGGCATCGGTAAAGCTCTCACGTAGCTACAGTCCGTATGAAATCAAGCCTGGTCATCGTCATCATCATCATGCTCCATGGGCAGATAGCCTGTAGGTGTCCACTGCACATTTTGTCATTTGTTTCCAATTTCCTCTGTCTTGTGGTAATATGCTCAAGTAGTGCTGCATCTTTCTGTCACCAATCTCTTATGTCGTCGTCAAGCCGGTCACTGTTAGATCTTCCTCCCTTTCCGGTTCTTTCCATTTTTCCAAACAACACACTTTACATTTTCCTGTTGTCTATCCTACTTATGTGTCCAAATAGTGCCAGTTTCTTCCTCATCACTGCCTACATCATCAGGTCTTCTTCCGTGCGTAGCCTTTTTCTTCTACGTTGGTCATTCTTGGGGACCAGTCTAGATGCTTCTGTAGCAATACATTTTGAATGCCAATATTTTATCTCTTGTCAGTCGTGAAGATTCTTCAACTCTGCTGAAACGATCTTACTTGTTTTGCAACTACACACAGTATTCGGCTACAGAGTACACCAGGGCCATCGTTGACATCCGTGGCACCGGAGCCCATGCTCCCCAGCACGTTTTTTGGCCCTGGAGAGGGCCGTTGGCGTGGCTTGTCTTGTTGCTCTGGAGACCAGGGAGATTGATGATCGCTGTTCGGTCGCCGCGTTGGTGGCATTCATCGTGATTTATCACCTAACAGAGTGGGCCGCATGAAGGCCGCCATCTTCCGCTCCGTTTTGTAACTTTTACGTTGCGTCACTAATCCACGATGTTTCCTCCATCGGGGTTGGTCATCGCCTGTCGCACGTTGCGCGCTTACCGACGCCGAACACTTGCGTTGCAGCGAGCCCCCGTTTCACCTGACGCGACGCGGCTGGGGCGAGTTTCCCGTGCGAGTTCAACTCCACTTCAAGGACCTGCGCAACAAGCGTGTCGACATCATCCACCAGCTGAAGGTACAGCCATGGGACCCGATGGTAAGGCGAGATGTTAACTACCTCGCCCGGTATACAGCAGTTCGTGGGTTCGATCCCGACCCTGACGTCTGTATGTTTGGAGTTTGCATCTTCTCCCCCTGGTTGTGTGGATTTTTCTTCGAGTCCTCTGGTTTTTCCCGTCCACATCTAGAAACATGCCTTTTAGAGTGTTTGGCTGCTATAAATGTCCACGTGATAATCCACTTAGTTGAGATATAATTTTGTGGCCAGATCGCTTCTGAAAAATAGCTATGCAGGCAGTCCCCGGGTTACGGAAAGGTTAGGTTCCCGAGAATGATACTTAACCCGAATTTTCCGTATTTCGGAAAATGAACAATTTACCCCCAAAATCAACGATAAAATCCCATAAATAGTTGTGCCTCCTCGACCGTTTGCTCTCGGTACCGTATTGCGCTGTTCATTTTCTGTCGACACCTGCATCGTATCACTGAACATACGCTGTGCACCTTCATATCATTCTTTCATTCATCGAATATCTACTCTCACACTACCCATAATTAAACTAATGGAACATATACTGTATCCAGAAAAAAAAAAAAATAATTACGTTACAAACAAAATCCATTTACCTTCATCCTAGTGAAGCTTGGGCTCAGTGAAGGCGGCGTTTTGGCGGAGCAAGGCGTAAGGTGGGGCTTACACCTCGCTCCGTGGTATTCATCCACAGACCTCACCGCGCCGCACTACAGTAAAACCTTGGATTGCGAGTAACTTGGTCTGTGAGTGTTTTGCAAGACGAGCAAAAATGTTAAATAAATATTAATTTGATAAACGAGCGAGGTCTTGCAATACGAGTAGTGTACGTATACGCTTTGTCTGCCGAGTGTCACGTGATCACAACTGATATACGAGTGCTTTGGATTACAAACACGTTTCCGGAACGAATTATGCTCGCAATCCAAGGTTTTACTGTATTTGCGCTTACGTAACAAACGCAAAGTTTCGGCATATTCAAATTATTCACGTGATTTATGGGAGCATTTCCATGAAGTCGCATTTCCGTAAGTTGCGACTTCCGCAATCCGGAGACTTATTGGATAGCTCAGTGGCCCTTAAAATAAAAAGTTTAGCATAAAATAAAAAATAGTTTAGTTAAAACGGTAGGTGATGTAACTTTAAAGATAATGGGTTAAGGTGCAGCCCTGCAACTGCTTGCTCTACACCAATGCTCCCACGAGGCCCTCCACTAGGGGGATCTCTAGAGAGTCTTTTTAGAGTGCATTTTACCAATTCTTACACACTGGCCAAGATGCCTCAAATTTCCTGAAAGAGGTGGAAGTACTCTCATTTTACCCCACCGCACACAACCTTCCAATCGCATAACTGCGAGATACCCATTTGTACCGCTGCGTGGATCGAGGCGGCGATGGGGAATTTAAGAAACGTTCCCATTGTTTTAGCTGCCTCGCCGAGAGATTCAACCGGAGACCTCTGCATTGGCGCTGTTCATCAAACCGCGGCGGAAGATTCCCAACGTTTCTTTACGTGGTTGTTTTATAACAATGGCGCGTTGCTGTGTAATTTACGTGGGTTTGTACATTGCGTTTGCAGTTGGATCGCACCTACACAGGACTGCAGACCCTCGGGGCTGAAACTGTGAGTACATAACGTTCTGTTTGCATCGCTCGTTTGTGGCAGAAGCCACGTTTCCTTTACGTAATTCTCATTGCATGTGTAATGTGAATAAAAGATACAAATTTAATATTATTCTTTTTATAACCCTTTGTCAATTTACTACTTGATGAAGGCCTACACCGTGATGGTCATGGGGGTAATTTGACCATATTCCACCACACTGTTCAGTAAAGGTTGGTGAATGGGTGACCCCGGACCGATTCATATATCGATTCATATCGCTCACCACTGACATTTTGCCATAGCCAGGAATCAAACTCAGGTTGCTGGGCTTCTAGTGTGATGTGTGAACCACTGCACCATGTCCTAAATGCTGCCACTATAACAATAATGCCCCTGCTGGATGAAAGCCTTGCCTAGCCACCGCCAGCTCTGTCCTCTAATTCAGAAATCTACCCAGCACCTGCTCACGTGCTGAATTCATTGCTCCATCGCCACGGTTGAAGTTGTTGTTACCCGCTCCTTGACTGTTACTGTCATTAATCCAACCACAAGCCATCATTCCTCCTAGCCCTGACATGTCCTGCCCAAGCCCACTTACTTTTCTGAATGGTCTCGTGGATTTATGTAATCTCCTAAATATATACGTGTTCCTCTTTCTATCCCTCCATGTAACACCAAGCATGCATTTATCCCCAAAGTTTTGCATCCTTTTCAGTTTTGTCCCACTTTCTTTTTAAATGTCCCATGCTTCTGATCCATTTCACAAAGCAAGTTTGCACGCTTTTAAAAATAATAAAGAAATGTAATTCCGCGTAAAACACTGGACAGTGGATTGTGTTGCTCTATTTCAGTGGGAGGGCGAGTTGGTTGCATGTCAGAGGAGTGCCGTACTGCATGACACAACACATATCCATATATCCATGACCGTAGATGCTGCAGTCTTGTTATATCTGCTTTGCAGCAAAGCTGTATGCCCCCCAACTGCCCTTCACGTGATAATTATTAATGCCTCACAGTGATTAAAATGGCATTTGGTAATCCTAACAATAACAGCGGACACTTAACTCCGACAGGTTTTATATAATGGGTTTGTTTTGTCTGCAGATAAATTTGCCTTGAGAGATGACAGTATTATGTGTGCTTATGCGTGATGTGCAGTGTGTGCTTTGCTAAAAATGTGACCAGACGCATTGAAGGATGGCATGTTGATTTGAAAGAACAAGCCACAGGGCAGTCTTCAGGTATCTACTTGCTGCGATCCTCAAGCAAACCGAATTAAAAACAAGTAGCAAGTCAAGTCATAGCACATCTATTAAAACACACACGGAGTCTCAAGGCATTCTAAGGATTGTCTCGCAAATTTTGATTTAAAGCTTTCGTGACTGCAGGAATTCATATTCTTGGTTCTTTTGGTAAAGTCACCACGTAGAAGGGAAATGATAAAGTAATACAACTAAAACAATAAAATTCTCACGACGTTTCGATTGCAACACAAGCAATCATCATCAGGTGTGAAAACCACAGCAAGAAAATGTTGATTATTTGTTTTTCATATTGTTATTGGGCCAATGGAATTATTTGTCATTTGATAAGGAAGCTGGAGTCCATAGGGGGAAGACCCATGAATGTGATGGGATCCTCATCAGCACTGCTGTTTGCAGGCTACCTCACAGGGGGAAGACTCATGAATGTGATGGGATCCTCATCAGCACTGCTGTTTGCAGGCTACCTCACAGGGGGAAGACCCATGAATGTGATGGGATCCTCATCAGCACTGCTGTTTGCAGGCTACCTCACAGGGGGAAGACCCATGAATGTGATGGGATCCTCATCAGCACTGCTGTTTGCAGGCTACCTCACACAAGCCCAGAACTATATCAACTGGAAAGTCGTAGTGGTCACCTATCCAAGTACAAAACAGACCTTATCGCTTTGAATTTGACTTTGCCATGGTAGATGTCTCTCCATGGAACCTACCATGAATCGTGAAGCACGGAGAGATGCATGCTTGGCTAACATACTCTTAGAGTAATGCATAGATTCGAGAACAATTCAAGTTCAAGACATTGTATTTTCTATATTCTTGGTTCTTTCGGTAAAGTCACGTTGAAGGGAAACAATAAAATATATATAAAACAATAAAAATTCTCACGACGTTTCGACCATAACACAAACACACCTGATGATGACCGTTTGTGTTATGGTCGAAACGTCGTGAGAATATTATTGTTTTATATATATATTTTATTATATTATTGTTTCCCTTCAACGTAACTTTACCGAAAGAGCTAAGAATAATAATAATAAAATGATTGTTTCTCTTCAACGTGACTTTACCGAAAGAACCAAGAATATGAATCACTGCAGTCACGAAAGCTTTAAATCAAAATTGTATTTACTGTTAAGAAAAGTAAGTAGGCTTGGGCAAGACATGCAGTACAGTACTAAACTGGGACTGGCATGTGTTCGTTTCTGCTTAGCATTGGGAATCAGTTAACGAGTTCGCAATGCTACACACGTTCAGTTTTTGAGCTTCAGGAGTGTAATAAAAACAAAATCTTAAAATGTTTTAACTCTTTAGGTAGTCTCCCCCAAAACAACCCCATTATATGGAGGACTCAGTATGTCCTTCCGCGTTTTTTGGGAGGACACGCTGTGTGTCATACACAGACAAAGAATTGAGGCTATTAAAGTCAGGTCAAGCACGGAAAACCGTGGTATGTCAGACGTCTGGGCAAAAAGAATGGTGACCGGCTGCAGAGGATGGTGATGGAGGAAACATTGGCAGGTGCTCGGGGAAGGCCACTATCTGACTGGATGTCAAACACCGAGCGGGGATGGTCGCTCTCTCGGTTGAAAGATGCAGCGACAGACAGAGAGAGAGAGAGAGACAGACACTGCAAGGCGATATCGGCGAAGGGCGTGGGTTGGCACTGAACCACGCGTGTGGCCTACGGCTAACAGGTGGTGGACGTGGAGTTGGACCGGCGCTCGCTGAGCGACGAGCCCGTTTCTGCGTCGCTGCCCCCGCCCGCGCCGGTGCTGCGGCAGCACCTCACGGCGTGCGTGTCAGCGCTCGCCTCCCCTTTCCCGTCGTCTCCGCCTCCCGCCGCCGCAACCACTGCCGCGGCCGTCGCCGGAACGGGCGGCCGAAGCTTGCCGAGCGGTGGCGCCTTCTCCTCCTCTTCCTCGTCGTCGCTAGACACGACGCCGGCGCTGTCCCCCTCGCCCAGGGCCCAGGCCACTGCCGCCACCACCGCCGGCAGCTCGGGTGAGCCGAATTTAAAGGCGAACTTGCCGATTGTATCCCATGACGTGAAGGTAACGTTGCTTTGATGATTGGATATATGGGGGTGGAGTGGCGGTGCTGTGGTTGATACACTGCGCTATGAACTTGCCGACCTGAGTTCGATTCTCAGCAAACAGCAGTGGCAAGTGACAGCTGAACCAGTTTTGAATCCTTCCACTTCACCAACCCGCATTGACCAGCCTGGTAACAACCTCAGTGGCTTACAGGGTGTGGAGAGGCCTTTTCGTGATAACTGACAAAGGGATATGTATAACAATTAGATATTCTCCAATCTGGCCAGATGATTCTTTGGTAATTAGTGCTGTACTCATAATCTGAATAATAAATAGACAAAATAAGTACCACTTATGTAAAAAAAATGTTTAATTTCCTCCACCATTGGAGGTGAGTACCACCCCAATCTCGCTTGAACATTGAGACATTTTTTTACCTTTGAACGGGCTATACACACGATATCACTCGACTGATGTTAGCCTCGGCCGCAAATCAAACTTGGGTCACCGTGCCCATAACGCATTGCGCTAACTGCACACGCGTGATATCGCCCCATGGGTATCTCTGGTAACGAGGCGCCGTGTGTGCAGGGAGCAGAGGCGGCACCACGGGTAGCAGCGGTGACAGTGCTGATCACTCGGTGCCGCCCGCGCCGCACATGGCCAGCTCTAGCGCATCGCTCACGCCGTCCACCCCACCTCACTCGCTCTCCTCCTCCCTCGCGTCCTCGCCCGCCGTCACACCCGGGGCGCCGCCCGCACCCGACACTCCCGAAGCCGCCAGCTCAGGCACGGGGCCCCCACGCACTCACTGTTTCCGGGGCGGGTCGTGGCACGCGGCAGGTGTCGGGGGGCGGGGATGCAGCCGTGGCGTGATGATCAGTGCGCTGGACTTGCCGTCCAGAAGCTTCAGCTTAATTCTCCCAGAGCGGCAGTTGAATCAATGGGGCAAGAAATCCCTCCGTTCACCCAGCAATATCAATATTAAACTAAACTGATATTTGACCAGGTAAGGCCCACTGAGCTATGTAGCTCTTTTTCAGAAGTGACCTGGCTGTCACAAGTGATAGCTCAACGAAGTGGCTTATCACGTGGACATTTATAGCAGCCAATGCTCTCGTATGCATGTTTCTAAATGTGGAGGGAAAACCAGGAGGAGCTGGAGAAAAATGCATGCGACCACGGGGAGAGGTCGACGATTTTCGGAAACCTTTTGGATCAACTATTTACCCCCCCCCCACTTTGGACTTCTGCAAGCCTCTTATAATTTTGTTGACGGACAAATGGACAGACAAACGGCACGCCGGGCTTTCACAATAGCTTAGTATTTGTGTATGTATAGGTGATGTTTTTAAGAGAAGTTTTGAAATATATTTTTCCCCCGGGCAACGCCGGGTACTTCCCGCTAGTAGGAACTACATGTTAAAGGGTTCATTCGTTCTGATAGCATCGAATGTTAACTTTTTTACACGCTTTTATTTAACTCACTCTGGTGTTGTCGTATCCTCAAATCTTGTAACTAAATTTTAACCCACTTCTCAATGTCGTATCGACTGAAAACTTGGTATACGTATGTTATACTGATAACAATACTATATTATATCATAAAAAATAAAAAATATATAAATATTTTTAAACAATATTTTTTATATGCTATATTTTGCCTTGGGTCTAATTGTCCACGCTCAACTAACGTTGGCTGTAAATCACCACGGCCCATTACGTTATGGCAAGCTTCGGGGCCACTTCCTGGAGTCACGTGGAGTTCTGCCATTACTCGTACGGTACATTTCATTAAAGCGTGTTTAAAAAAAAAGTATTTTTAAATGTTATTCTGCCAAAAAAAGTACTTTCTAATATTTAAGCAATTGATATTAACGCAAAGTTACTGACAGCATGATAAGCACTTCATATTCAAAGGAACGTGATTAATTAATCACGTTTCATTGATTATAATCAACGCATTAATTAACATTTACTGTACTTAGAACATCCCGTCGTTAACAAGGAAATGGTCGGTAAGCGAACACTTTGGGCTCTATGGAGGACCTCCACTACTATACACTACATTATACACTACACTATACACTACACATTGGGCTCTATGGAGGCCCATCGTTAAGCGACTTATCGTTCACAAGAGTGGTTATTACGAGGTGTTCTACTCTACACCACTATACACTACACTACTACACACTACACTACTATACACTACTATACACTACACTACTATACACTACACACTACACTACTATACACTACAAATTGGGCTCTATGGAGGCCCATCGTTAAGCGATTAGTCGATAACAGGGGTGGTCGTTAAGAGGGGTTCTATTGTTCCTTATTTCATACGGCCCATGACCGCACGGGGCCTACCACTTGGAAATGGCCTGCAAGTAATATGTATCCATCACTGCAACCATTTTAACCGTACTAATCAGATATTGTCGCTGAGTATTTTTTTTACTTAACAAAGCTGTTCCTAACTTTAGCGCACTGAGCCACTGCTGTCGCTGCAAGGGCCTCTTACAGTGTCAGAAACGCTTTAAGCCGCGCGTCGTCAATGTGTGTGGGTTGCCCGCCAAAGGGTATATTTGAAAGTCCTATTCAGCCCTGCAGTAAGGAAAATGTTCCTAAAGCCCCGCTTTACATCTTGGCGAAAACCACGCGATGCCGGGTTGCGTCCCTGAGCAGGTGCCAAGCTCGTGGAGGTGAAGAAGGAGTGCGTGGACAGGTTCTTGACCATCTCGGGTGGCGGGTCCCGGGTGGAGGGACCCAACGGCGAGCCGGGCACCGCGAAGGAACCCGCGGGACAGCGTCCCACCTTCAGCCCCCACTGCAACTCGGCCTTTCAGCCCATAACTGCGAGCTGCAAGATCGTGCCGCAGGGAAAGCTGTCGACGCTTGGAGAGTCGCCCGGGCGCTCCTTCCAGCCGCTCACCGTCAGCTGCAAAATCGTTTCAGGTTGTTCGTGCTCGCTCGCTCATTCGCCCGCTCGCACGTGCGTGTGTTTGCGTAGTTTTACCGGTTAGCGCTATGAACCCGGCAAGGACCTGAGTTCGATTCCCGCTCACGACCACCAACACCAGTGACGATTACACTGTGTAACAATTTTTTTTTCGTTCCTGGCTAGCAGGTGTTATTCCCTCATTGCTTATGCCTCAAAAGTACAGAAAATGGATGTTATTCCCCACAAACTTTGCTTTTGTGACCCAAGATAATTATCTTAACCAGTCCTGGGTGTGTCCCCTAGGTCGACGCCGCCTCAAATGAGTACCTGGTGCGGTGTGTAGTAAACATCGCCACTTGGGAGACAAAGGCGGCCGGGCGTGGTGCTGGCCACCCACCCCCTCGTGTGCTGTGCCGGCCTTCATAGGTGCTCGCTAACAGCACTTGCCCCAACAGTCTGTTAAGGCTGTATTGGGGACCTTTGTCTTGTCTTGTGTTTACGGGAAGCGGCGCTGCATTACTTGGTGTGTTGTGCTACGAACTCAGCAACTAGAGTTTGATTCCCAGCCATGGCTGACGTCGGTGGCAAATATGTGAAATGGACCTGGGGAGTTAAACTCAGCTTTAACGGAATTACCAAGAGCCAATGTCTATGAATTGGCACTCGATGGTCAGATGAGGCAGGTGCCGGCCACACTGGCGAGGAAAGCGGAGCTTCTAACAGATGTTTCGGACGGTGTCCACGCAGCCTTCGGCATGAGTCTGTGAAATAAAGAGCTATTCAATATGCTGGGCCGTACCATTAATGTGTTCCTTGCCACTTATCTCACCGCTTCTTCTCCAGGTTCTCCCGTGTCGACTCCGAGTGCGTCCCCGCTGTCTCGCACGTCCTCGCTCTCCCCCGTGTCTGGCAAGCAGAGCCCGGCCGTGCTGTCAGTGGGGACCCCGTACATCATTGGCAGCCCCTGTGCGTCAACCCTACTACCTCCTCCCCAACCCCAACCCCCCCCCCTCCCCCCCCCCCCCCCCCAAACCTGCCAACACCATCGTTCAATTCCCCTATCCATTGTCATGCACAATGTTTAAGCTATTGGGGAGGAACCTACGGCCTGCCATTTCATATCATATGGGCCGCAGCCACACGAGGCTTGCCACTAGCATGAAACGGCCTGCAAAGCAACATTAATCCGTTCCTGCAAACATGTTAGCTGCACCGAGTACTAGAGGGCAATATTTTCGATCTGACGGAATTGTGCCTCTAATTTTGGCACGCCGAGTCCCCCTGTTGTCTTTCAAGCGGTTAATAACAATGCACGATCAAAGTTAAGTGTCAACTAATGTGTGGCTCGCCCAAGGATATTTTGGAAAATCCTATTCGCCTCTCATTAAGGAAATGGTTCCCTGCCCCTGGCTTAAGCCAATCGTGTTATATCCTTGTGTAAGTGTGCAGTCCTACAGTTTAAGCATTTCTACTGAGTTTTATGAGTTTGTGATCTGGAATAGGTGTACAGTCATGCCTCGGTATACGGCCGCTTTGGAATACGTCGAATTTGGTACACGTCGTGTTTTGACGAGAAAAAAATGTCTTGGGATACGACGTCTTGCTTGAGATACGACTTGTTGCTTGTGATACGACTTGCTTGGGATACGTGTTGCTTGGTATACGACGTGTTGCTTGTGATACGACGTCTTGCTCGGGATACAACGTCTTGCTCGAACTTGTATGGGTCGGGATGAGTCACCGCGTCCCCGCGAAGACCCCGTTCACGACTGAGACAAAGCGCCGCTCCTCAGTCTGCCTGTACAGTAGATCTCGTTCAGTGCACAACCCCCTTGCTGTAACTCTCCGTGAATTTTAACGTGTTTTTTTGTCATTTTAATGTATGTATGCATTTAAGTAATAAGTAGCGTCTACATTATGTTATACAACCCCCATGAATGTATAATATGCCATATAAAATATAATTTATTATACTCTGGAACGGATTATTCCCTTACCCTTGATTTCTTATGGGAAACATTCGTTTGGTATTCGTCATTGTCGCTGTAAGTCCTCCTACCTTCTGGAACGAATTAACGACGTATACCGAGGTACCGCTGTACTCGAGCACGCACATGTGTTGTCTGTCTCTGTGACAGTATTTTGTCTTTGTCTTTTTTTTTTATAATTGAGGAGCAGTGGCGTTGTGGTGAGCACTCAGCGCTCGCAACGAACCCGGCGACCTGAGCTTAATTCCTGCTCCTGGCCAACATCCTTGGCGATTATCTGAATCTGTTTGGGGTCTCCTTTAGGTTGACCCAGCCTTAAAAAATACAGTACTTGGTGTGATACGAACACATCACTATTGGAAAGACAAAGGCGCGATGCTGGCCACACTCCCCCGTAGCGTGCCGTGCCTGCCTTCCCAGGTGCTCGTCTTTCAGCACTTGCCCCCCAACGGTCCCGTGTCGACTACACTGGCAATCTTTGTCCTTGTTGTCTACTGCCATTCATTTGTGCCGTGTGTGTGCTTTTTTTTTTGCATTCGTTGGCACAGCTCCGAGCCCAGTGCCGAAGGTGGGCACGGCCGGTGGTGTGGAGGCTCGCTCGCCAGTCTCCAAACTGCACATTCATGGCAGCAGCTTCGTCAGCATGTCCGCCGTCAAGGTACAGCCCGCACAGACATGGCTGCTGCTGGGCGCCTGTGAAAAAGAGCTTTATAGCTCATCGGATTACTCCGATATAAATGAATATTCTGATTCTGATTAAAGATGCGGTGGTGGCACAACGAATAGCGAATTACGCTTATGATACCCTGCCGATCTGAGTTGGGTTCCAAGCCAGGGCTGACATCGGTGGAAAGTGATCCGATCCTATATCCCACTCCTCCACTTCACCAATGCCTACTGACGAACTTGGTGAAGTATGGATGAACAACCCTCATGGCTGCACAGTGTGAAGAGGCCTCCATCCAGAGTTGTATTGACATTGACAGGTTACACGGACTTCCTCGCAGAGCGCACAAACAGCAAGAACACAGTCACGCCATTTCACCTAAAATAAAAAAAATATTTTTTACTTGGTGGTCTTAGTCCTAGGCATCTGGGAATCTGTTAAATGTTTTGTGTGTGTATGCGCATGTATGGGGGAGCGGTGGTGTAGTGGTTAGCGTGACGATTATCTGAACCGGTCATGGCCTCCCCTAGGTCGACCCAGCCTCAAATGAGTACCTGGTGTGGTTTGTATACATCGCCACGGGAGAGACAAAGGCGGTCGGGCGTGGTGCTGACCACCCACCCCCTCGTGTGCCGTGCCGGCTTTTATTGGTGCTAACAGCAGTTGGCGCGCAACAGTCTCTCAAGGCCGTACGGGGATCTTTGTTTTTTTGTTTGAGAAGCGGTTGTCATTCTACGGAGTGTTGAAAGGCAACCAACTACAATTTCTGGCCATGGAGTACTCTACAGTGGTTAATCGGAACCTGTCCTGGGCCTTCATTTGCTTGACTCGCTCTTAAATGATTACCCGGTGCGCTGTACAAATGTAAAGGAAGTTCTTTGGAGGCGTCCATTTCAACAGGGGGAAGATTTTATTTTCACTTGGAGAATCGGTACAGCTCCGTCGAACCCAGCCCAGTTGCTCTCCACCTTGGCCGTCTTCTAGCAATCTTGTCCCAGGCTCCCTCTTATATAACCTCCTAAAGGCCCTGACCTCAGTCAGTGTGCCCACGTGGACAGGCCACCTGCTCTTAATTCACTCAAAGTGTGCATTCCCGAATATTCTCCTGTACAGTTTCCCATGCCTACGCGTCCACTGTACTCAACGTGTACCCCAGACATAACTCTGATGTACAGTCCCCTACATAAATATCAGCCCTGGGGAGACGATGGCGGCTGAATGTATTGCCCGCCAAGCGAACTTAGCTTGTGTCATGCCAGGCTGAACGTGAGTGTTTACTGACATCACTTGACACAGTTATAATTGTGTTCTTGGTTCTTTCGGTAAAGTCACGTAGAAGGAAAACAATAAAATATTTTATTGTTCCCCTTCTACGTGACTTTACCGAAAGAAACACATTTGTATTATTTTATTGTTTCCCTTTTTACCGAAAGAACCAAGAATATCAATCCCTGCAGTTACGAAAGCTTTAAATCAACAGTTATAATTATTACTTATTTACCCAAGAAGCCATACTGTTTTTGAGGAGGGTCCTGCATTGTATGTCTGTACGTATGTTGAACGTCTTTCGCATCTTACGTCGGCAACTGTGCTAATCAAAGGTGCGGTGTGTGGCGGGGGGGGGGGGGGGCGGCAGGAATCTAAACACAAAAAGCAGTTTTAAAGAAATGAGTTGTCAGTCTAGATTTTAAAATGCATAGCTCCACAGTGGCTTCCTAATATCGAAAGGACGAGCCTTCCAGATGGCCACAGAAGCGCGTCTGAAAGCGCGCGATGCAGTCACCGTCTTTGTTCGATGGTTAGCCAAATGCCGCTGCGAGGATGCATGGAGTATATCGAGGTGTTTTCGGCCAATTCATGGTTGTGTAAGCATGTGGGAGGAAACGGGAGCACATGGAGGAAACACACGCGTGTCAGGGGGTATCATTATCCCATACAGATGGAACGGATGACACTAGTCCACGCTTGTTGTGCCGCATTCTCCTGGCAAGCCAGATTATGGTACCTCAACACCCAATAGGAAGGAGCTCCGGATCATTTGCCTGATCCACCAACCGTCACCTCCGCGGTGCTGGTTCACCGGAGTGCGTCACCAGTGCCCGGCTGAATACTATTCCGTACGGCTAACCGGGAGGATATTTGGCTTTTTGTGTGCCTGGCGACTTAGGAGGAGGCTCTCTTTGCGACCATGCCACCTCTGGGCCCCATTGGCAGCCAGGCAAAGCTGCAGACCCCCAAGGCTATCCCAGCTACCATGGCTACACAGACCACCCTGCCCAAGGTACATAACGCAACGTCACCACTCTGTGCTCTATCGCATGCTTTGCCAACATTTTGACGTCACCTTACAAGTCCACTAAGAACCGCGGGACAGGTGTTATTGCACAACATCTCCCAGATGGTGATCAAGCAGGAGCCGATGGACGTCCAGCCGTCGCCCTCCGCCGGGCCTTCCCAGCAGCCCCTGCAGCAGTTTGTGACGATGAAAGGAGGCCCTGTGATCACGGTGCCCTCCCAGAAGACAGCCTCGCTCTCCACGACGACGCACACGCCCACCAAGGTGATCACGTGTTTCTTTTTTGCTGCCCGCACGTCGCGCGATGTTGCCTGCCGTCCCGTTTGCGTCGCAGTTCGAACGAGAAATGCAGGACAAGCGCTGTTGCACAAAATTCAACCTGTTGTGTTTTAAATTTTGATTTAAAGCTTTCGTGACTGCAGTAATTCATATTCTTAGTTTTTTCGGTAAAGTCACGTTGAAGAGAAACAACAAAATAACAAAATATAAAAAAAAAAAAAAAAAAAAAAACAATAAAAAATTCTCACGACGTTTCGACCATAACTCAAACGGTCATCATCAGGTGTGTCTCACGACGTTTCGACCATAACTCAAACGGTCATCATCAGGTGTGTCGGTTTGCATAAATTTTATGCAAACCGGTCATCATCAGGTGTGTCGGTTTGCATAAATTTTATGCAAACCGACACACCTGATGATGACCGTTTGAGTTATGGTCGAAACGTCGTGAGAATTTTTTATTGTTTTTTTTTTTTTTTTTTTATATATATTTTGTTATTTTGTTGTTTCTCTTCAACTGTTGTGTTTTCTTCACGATTCAGGTCATGAGTGTGGAGGGCCAAACTGGACTTTGGAATATATCTCTCTTATTTTAAATGCCTTTTGGGAGGGGCCACACATTAACGTGCATCAGAGCGTTATGCGCAATAAGTCTTGTGCATGTTATCCAATACGTTTAGTACAGAGTTGAGTTTCTATTCCCGACTAACCCTGTGGAAAACCAGTCGATTTTATGTGGGTTGCTTCACAGTTGGCGACAAAACCTAGAGTTAAATAAATAAATAAAATCTCCAACTAAAAATACATGCTTTAAAGAAATGCATGTGCATGATTTTTCTTCCTTGTGTGTTTTTTCCCCTTTCTAAACATTTTTTGTATTTTACCAGGTAAAGCCAAGTGAGCTATGTAGCTCTTTTTCAGCAGTGACCTGGCCACAAATGACAGCTCAACGAAAGTGGCTTTTCACGTGGAAATTTATGGTTAGCAGCCAAATACTCTAAATGTATACTGATTCTAAATGTGGAGGGAAAAACCGGATCAACCGGCGCAAAATCCACATGACCACGGGGAGAACACGCAATCTCCATATATACAGCAGGCGTTGGGGTCTGGATCGGACACACGACGTCCTGCGTACCAGGCGAGGTAGTTAACATCTCACCCGGGGGTGCTCTCCTTCCACCGCAGGTGCTGGGGATCCAGGCGGGCTGCTCCGTGTCGCCCGCCAAGCAGACCCTGACGCTATCCAGCGGTCAGATCCTGCTCGCAAAGCCGCTACCTCAGACAGCCAAGCTCCTCCCGCAGAAGGCAGCCGCTGCATCGACCTCGGGGCCGGCCGGCCAGAAGGGCATCACCGTGGTTACGACCTCGGCTGGCGGTGTTCAGAAACCCATGTTGATGGGGACAGGTAAGACCCGCCCATCGTCGTGGAGGTTACCATAGTCCATGATGTATATATGTGGATAATAATAATATACATGGCATTAGCGCAAGGCTATCGTGAAGGCGCTATCACAGATGGGTATGGCTTGCTCATAGTTGTCAATATTGCCATGTGGTTGTATACAGTTTCGTAATGAAGTAATATCCGGGTAATGTTCAGATTATAACAACATCACAGGATCTTTCACGTCCACTGTGAAGCAGACGCTGAAGTATTTTTGGTTTATACACATGCAGTCTAACCAGGGTGGCCGCTTGTGTTCAACCAAGAACCTCTGCAAATAAGCGGGAAACGCACTGCAGCTCGGCCATGTCCATCGTGCCTTGCAATGAACCTGGAGACCTTACATTGGTTTCCTGTCACGGCTAACATCATTGGCGAGTGGTATCAGAACTGATTCTTTTAGGGAACCAAAAAACATTTGATACAACAATTTTTAAGTTTTCAACCATACGGAGCAATGTTAAACCATATTGCGGAATCATGATTTTGCAGCTAATATATTGTCATAAATGTATTGTTTACTCTCGATTATCCTTTGGATGGATTATCCGGATTGCGGGTTAAACGTGCCCATCCACACATTTTGGCCTGCGGGCTGATTTAATCATCCACTGCCCGTCACAGTGATCGACTGGCTGCCCATGTGACCGCAAATATTTCGACACGTAATGGGATCGTTTTAAGAAATAATAAAAACAGGTGACGCTTTTTACATCCTCACCCACATTCTCTATAATTGAACAACAAATATGATTTCTTACCTTATATGTAGACGTTTTTGCGTTTCTCTCCGATGTGCCTTTGGGGGGGTCTACCGCGTGTCATTAAGCGTCATTTTAGACGTTTCTCTCCACATTCTCAGAGCTTCTTCAGAAATTAATCAGAGCCATACTAAACTATTAAACTAAACTTTTATTTTACCAGGTAAGGCCCATGGAGCTGTATACCCTTTTTTAGAAGTGACCTGGCCACTTTGTTGATAGCTCAACAAAGTGGCATGTCATGTGGACCTTTCTAGCAGCCAATAACTCAAAACACGTGTTTCTAAATGCGGAGGGAAAAACCGGAGAACCCGGAAAAAAATCGACGCGACCACGGGGAGAACACGCAAACTCCAAATATTACAGGCGTCAGGGTCAGGATCGAACGCACGACCTCCTGTATACCAAGCGAGATAGTTAACATCTCACCACCGCTGCAGCCAAACCTACGCAGTCGGGTTTTTTGTTGTTTATCTGGGCCATCTGTTTTTTTTTTCTTTTATCCCGGCCATTTCCTTCACCCCATGACCCGAGATAATCGAGAGCTGATTGCGCATCTATGATTTGTACTTGGAGGGGAACGATTGTAGACGAACCGGGCTTGCACAAACCGCCGCACTAAAACGTTTGCCCGGCGCGTCAGCGACAGTGGCGGCTGGCAAGGCGGTCATGGTGAGCAGCGTCGGGGCATCCATCCTCTCCCAGTCTTCGGCGACGACCGGAGGGGTCAAGCATCCCCCAGGAGTGGCCACGGCGTCGTCGGGCACGACCAAACCCACCCAGGGCCAAGGTAAGGAAGGCGTAAGGCGTCATTGGGCGGTGCGGCTGCCGATGATGATTATGTTGACGTATGGAGGAACGGTAACGTTTTACAGTTTGATGTTAAGTTTTTACGTCGAGTCGACAGCTTTGGGAGATGCGGAGTACCGTTACAGAATGAGTAACATTGAACAGTTGGTCACGAGGTGTCCAGTTGTTTGAGCATGTCCTACTGGGCATCTATGAAGAAGAGCTTCGCAGTTCATCGGATTCCTCCAGTCTAAATAAAGATCTGATTCTGAAGTTTTACCCCACGCTCGCACTGCAGTGGCCTGGAGTGCATTTGTGCATATGGTATATACGCAGCGTCCATGTGATATACTCATACGAGTTGGTATTGCGCCACTGCTTCACCCCAGCTATTTTTGAGAAATGTGAGTACATTGATGTTATATCCACTTGCTTTTCCATGGTCTTATGATGATACGGATTTTCTCGAGAAAGCTTTGAAGTCTGAAACCGGAGCTTGTGCCAGAAAGAAAATATGCGACACTTTTAATACAGTTTGTATCTTTGTATACATCATTACTGAAGAACATAGGGAGATGCTAGATTATAGATATGGAGGTTATATCAAATATGGGAAGGAGCATTGTTTTACATTTGGAATAACTGTGCGTAGAAGTAAACAGATTAGAGATGGAGAGGTATTTATATCCGACTTTTTTTCTCTCTCGTGGCACGTACAGTTGTATTGAGCATCATTGTCTTGCATTCATGAGCATGGTTGGCTATGTACGGTGAGAAAGAAGTTCAACATACATACATGGAAGGGGAGGGGGAGGGCTTCCTGAGATTCGCTCTGGGACTGCTGGTGAATCCGGGCCCTTTATTCGCTATTGTGCTAGATTGTGGCCAATAAATAAAAAATAAACAAACTGGAGTTTGGTTTACCACATAAACATAACATAAAGTAACAGTTCGGCCGCCTATTGGAGTTCAGAACCAATGTTGTTTTCGGTTCATTTGTTTAGGGAGAGACATTCTGGAACAGTTTTCACAGTCTCGTCAGCAGCGTCGAGCTTGTATTAAATAAATGCTACTGGGAAAACAACGGTAAAGATTTGCCCATAGGGTTGAAAGAGGTTAAGGTGCAGCCCTGCAATGGCTTGCTCACACCACTGCTGGCAGAAAGGCCTCCGCCAGAGCAGTCCTTGGAGAGGCCCCTCTCTGAAGTATTTTTTGCCAGCCCTTCCACGCTGACGAGACGTCTTGGAAGCGGTGGCGGTACCCGCACTTTACCACACCACATGTGACCAGCCTATCGAATCAAATGTAAATTTGTATTCTACTTTTACGTGTCGTGGCAGGCGAACGTGTTGGTATTCGCAAATCCACACGGAGCAGCAGTGATCCCAAACCGCATCCCAGCGGAGGTTTCAAATTATACGGAATTTTCCTCTGGCAGAACTGAAATGGGATTGTGGGAAGTGGAAGTGAGCTGCCAATGTTGACCACACGGCCTTATGTGGATGGTTGGTGAACTCTGGTGACCGTGGCACTGATAAACACGCACGTGGCCTTGGGAAGCACAGGGGGGAGAGAGGGGGGCGGGGGCAGCCAGAGTTTACGGTGTTCCTTGGGGTTTTTTTTTCCTCTCTCCCTCGCCAAATAAATAGCACGGGGGCCACGCGAAATCCACCCCACACCCCCCACCCCCTGCGATTTTCGGGTGCCAGGGAGGGGCAGCGCCTCGTTGTAAGCGCCGGCAAATGACGGCGGCGGCAGCGGCTGGCGAGAATGGTGCAGCTGCCAGAGATGGGCAGGGCCTTGCCTTGCTAGGAGTGGCTGTGTCATTTCTCATCAAGGTTTGGGAAAAACAATGGGCAAAAATGGGAAGGGAGTTCAACGCGGGGGGCCCCCCCCACAGCCCTTTGCGATTGAATACACAAGAGGTGTATGTGTGCTCTTGTGTCTGCCAAGGACAAACGGAAACTACGTTTTTATAAACAGTTTCCATTATGCCTCCCTGCCCCAAGAGTTGGGTGTACAGTGTAAAACAACACACGCCACAACCATGCGTGTATCTGTGTTTTTTAGCGCGTTAAATATCGCATGCCCCAACATGTGCGGGGTGATGTATTATGCAACTTGACTTTTAACTACATTTTCTATCTGGCTGCAAACGTTTTTGTTTTACCAAAGTAACCCCCACCCCCCCCCCCGTGTTATATTTCCACATGTGCTTTCAATGAAATAAGTAAATACTGTGGGTAAGTAAACTAACCAGAGAGGATACAGTGGTGTTTTATTTGGGAACGAGATGTTGTCTAATGCATTGCTTTGTATTATTGAAGTATTTTTTTTTACTTAGAATGTTTTGGTAAAAGACACCAAATCTGTGGGCATTCAGTGGGATATTTTAATGGTTTTGACTGTTAATATTCATAGCAACACATCTATGTCCTCTGATTAGCCCTACAGACTGCTATTGTAAGTGCTGGAAGGGAGTGATTTCTTTCAGAGGAGGATTTCTCCACAACTCTGGCTGTCGCCTAATGAGGCTCATTGTAATTGTAATTACTGGCAACACGTCACAGTACTCGAATTTACTCTCCAACACACAACCGGTGTGCTTTACCCGTAACGAATTGGCACGTTTTGTTTACGTGACGAACCTTACTAATTGTCTGTGTCGGGTGGTGGTGGGTTTAACGACACAACATGTATATGTCTATGCAATCTAACCCAAAAACCTCTTATGGATAATATTGATCACGAAAGAATATGAAAGCCTACGTGTTAATACTGTTAGGGAGTGACCTACTATGGCTATTCAGTCTTGATGTAATATGGCACAGACAGGGATGGTGAGACCAGTATCATGCAAACCTGACCGCCTTTGTCTCCCCTCTGCTGATGTCTACTGCTCTGCACAAGGAGTCATCATCATCGGCGTGAATCTATCCTTTGTTGGGTGAAGGCCTATAACATTACATTTGTAACACTGGTAATAATGATTACTATGAAACATATTCTTAGCTCTTTCGGTAAAGTCACGTTGAAGGTAAACAATAAAATAATAAAATATATATAAAACAATAACGGCCGTTGGTTTTCACACCTGATGATGACCGTTTGTGTTATGGTCGAAACGTCGTGAGAATTTTTATTGTTTTATATATATTTTATTATTTTATTGTTTCCCTTCAACGTGACTTTACCGAAAGAGCTAAGAATATGAATTACTGCAGTCACAAAAGCTTTAAATAAAAATTTACTATGAAACATATAATTCAACCATTTAGTACATTTGGTATTTACAACATTGTTATAGAGCCAGGCTCTCACGAAGATGGGTGCTACGTTTCACACAGTCTGCCGTAGTTTCATAGTAGGGGGCTATATTGCTTTGATTCCCAATAATGGCCTCATTTTAAATGACATAGGGGGATCTTTAACTGTCCACTGTGGATCAGAGTGCATTTTATGGTTAATACACCTGCAGTAATAACCAGGGTGGCCTGCCGGATGCAAACTGCGAACCAGATGCAATAAGCGGCAAATGCGCCGCTGCTGGGCCATATCGCATCTCGGAATGTACAAAGAGATGGACATAGACTACAACATAATGGCATGATTGATGTGATTTAAGGTTCTTTTCATACAGAGGGGAGACGGTGAGGGCTGGCAGGCTTCTTTCGTTTGGCTGATTTGGATGCAGAGCAACAGCTACAATTTCACATTCACGTGGTCAAGCCAGAAAAGTGCCTCAGGAGTGTTTGTCTGTGATATCTCCTTCGTATATTTGTGGATCGTGCATTGCGTCGTTACACACTGTGTGTGGCCTGTTCTGGGTGACCACAGTTGCACACTGGAGACTTTTACATCTTCCATTTGTTCATCAGCCGAAAGGGCATAGAGGTAAAGGGGGTGAGTTCAGTCCACATGATGCTCACCTCTGATTACCCCCCACCTCCGATTAGCAAGGTTGGCTACGTGCGGGGTGAAAGAAGTTCACACACACACACACATAAATGTGCGAATGAAAACGCTTCACAATCGTCGGCGCAGCACGATAAGAACGTCTCGAGCGCTTTAGCGGTAGAACCGGTGCCACGCGCGCGGGCGGTGATGTTGTGCGTGCCCGTGCAGTGCTGGCGACCCTGCAGCTCCCCGCCACAAATCTGGCGAACCTGGCATCATTGCCGCCCGGGACCAAGCTGTACCTGAGCACGCACGGCAAGCACGCGTCTGGCCGCGGCAAGCTGCTGCTCATCCCACAGGGAGCAGTGCTGCGCACCAGCGGTAAATGTTACCCCGTCGTGCACAACGGCCTTCGTCGGCGGCCCCATCCGGACGGGCTGGCGCGGCCCGGTCCCTTCCGCGTCCGGCTCGCGGGGGTCTCGATCATCCTCTCGAAAGCAAGCCTGTGTCCGGGCTCGTGAATGTGTCCATCGTGCGCCCACTGGAGCATGGGTGGACATGTCTGCCTTGTGTCATTCTATTATGTTTTACCCCCACAACACCTCCGAGATTTTGCCAAATGAAATCTTCACGGCTGGCTTGGCTTTTCTCTCTCACGTACTGCAACATGACTAAAGGGGGGAGGGGCTGCACTCAGCCAGACCACGTGATGAGGAGGAGTCTCCAAGCCACGCCCACTGCCTCTCTCTGGTGGGCGTGGCCAAACGCACGTATTAACAACCATTTAAATAAACCCGCAGTTTCAGTTTTAACTCGTGTCTACCCTCAGTCAATTGTCAACCCTTAAGCCGCAGTAAATTATGTTGGAATTCGCGTGGTCTTTGTAGCGCTGGGTGGCCCAGTCGGCCTCACAGGATGTACCCTCATTGCAATGCGGGCACAGGACACTACCTGGGCCTTTGTGCTCTCAGTGTAATTTATTTGTAATTGTGATACCTTACGATTCTTATTTTTCCTCCCAATTATGGTTCGGTTGCGACATCGGCATCGTGTCCTGAGACAAAGTAAATTTACCATGCAGAAACTTTTGATTTAAAGCTTTCGTGACTGCAGTAATTCATATTCTTAGCTCTTTCGGTAAAGTCACGTTGAAGGGAAACAATAAAATATATATAAAAACACAATAAATAAATAAATACCACTTGGCAATAAATAAATAAATGCGGACCGCCACTTCTTTCAAATGTTTCTTGCCGTTGCTTTTCACACCTGATGATGACCGTTTGTGTTATGGTCGAAACGTCGTGAGAATTTTTTATTGTTTTATGTATTTTATTATTTTATTGTTTCCCTTCAACGTGACTTTACCGAAAGAGCTGCGAACATGCAGAAACTGTTGCATAAAGCAATGTAAACCCGTGTTGGAGAACGGCCCCGAGAACTTGACATGGCAGAGCTGCTGCTGACGTCCTCTCGGTTGCCTCTCATGCAAGCCAGCTGGTGCACAGCCTCACAAAATGCCCCTTCTGTAAACGCGTCCGTCGCATGCCAATTGAACTAAAACAGTTTTAGCAATCGGACCTGAACATTTTTTTCCCGATTTTTAAACAATGAAGACTTCGTCATAACGGGGGTGATGCACATGGAGCCGGTTATGATGTACGTCTGACCAAGGCAGTTTGGAGTTGTATGGCCTGGTGGAGTGTTGTACCGTTACAGAACTGCTTTTTGTGTTGAGTTTTTTTGTCTTTCCCCTGCATTTCCGCTTGGCACTGTCGGCTGCGCATGGTGCGAAGGAAATTCCAACACAATAACGCCACTTGATTTCTACGCTACTTTAAACCGCGCCTATAAATCGATCAAAATCAATGGTATTCGTTGAAAAACGAACCACGCGCTTAAACGACCGAGCGCGTTGAGAGGCCGCCGTTAATGAATGCCGGTGTGCGACCCGTAGTGCGAGCGTTGACGCCGCGTGTCTCGTGCAGCTGGCCAGACGCTGCAGGGCTCGGCGGGAGGTGCCGGCAGCGGCGTCACCTCCTCCTCCAGCGCCGTCCTGGGCTCCCTGCAGCAGCACGGGAAGCAGCCGCCCTCCCTGCCCTACACCTCCTACATCCTGAAGCAGACCCCGCAGGTAACCCCGCTCGCACGCTGACGCCACGGCTGCCTGCTGCGGCTGTCCTCAAGCTGCAGCGTGTTTGAAATTGTTCGGCCCACATCGTGCCGGTTACTGCGAGGTGCCCGTCCGGTGCTCGCCGAGCTACATTGGCTTCCGATTGCCGAACGAAAACATTTTAAGGCCGCGCTCATTGCACACAAAGTGCTTGCCGCAAATGAACCCACAATACCTTGTTGCTCTTGTCAAGGACCGTAAACCATCACGTAAACTCCGGTCATCGTCGCAGCGGATTTTGCCTAGTCATCAAACAAAGACGGGCACCATATCCCACACTTCCCCCCTTGCTCTTCTGCACCCATCTGGAATGCTCTTCCCACCGATATTAGGAAGCCACTGGAACTATGCACTTTTAAATCATCCATATTCATTTCTTTAGAATTGCTTTTTAGTGTTTAGTTTGTCGTCCTTCCCTGGTACCTCCCGATTAGCACGGTTGGCTACGTACGGTGTGAAAGAAGTTAAACATACGTACTTACGTCTCAATCGAGTCAGCATTTTTTGTTATATTTACAGTCTTAGCCTCCTATTCTTAGTCACGGCTCGGCTCAGGCTTTGGCCCTGGCTCAAGCGAGCTATGGCTCACAGCAACGGTCGTGGCAGCACTGGCAACAGCAGCGAGAGAGCAACTGGGCGTCCCCGACAACCATAAACGGGGGTGACATTTTCCACGCCCCAACGCTCAGATGTTTCAGCGGTCATCGGCGGCATTCGGTGATGAAACAGTTGTGACACGTTCGGGTTTTGGATTTCTTCACTTGGATCTTCCTTGAGTTGAATGTATGTTTGTTTTTACGTTTTGCATTTCTATTGTCTGACGGTGTTTTTTTTTGTTTAACTGTTTCCCCGTCAAGTGTGTTACAGGAAACCAGCACACCAGATTTGACACGATAAACAAATGACTGCTGTACATACTCCCCCTCATTTCTGGTGACCCCTACTCTGCCATCCGTAGGCATGCTTTCATTACATATTTGGTTTGGTGTACACATTAACACGAGCTCAAAATAACTTAATGGGCTAAAAAACTGAGCCAAGATACTCGTCTGAATACCAGCCAAGTGCGGTAACACGAATCATGTCGTAACATTTCATCAATTGAAATTGATCTCACGCTCGGCAGTCATGTGTTGTTTTGTACACTGTATGCAAATAAATGCACATTATATGCAAATGTTCGGATTCCACTGCGAATGGTGGGAATGCATCGAGCCGGGGTGGGGGGTGTGGGCGCATTTTCAAATGCGCTTCCTGCGGCCGTCTGGAACGCTCTTCCCCACAATATTAGGAAGCCACTGAGAGCTATGCACTTTTAAATCTAGGAACCCAATTCTTTATGACTGCTATTTGTGTGTTAGTGTGTTGTCCTGTTCCCCACACCTCAAATTAGCAGGGTTCACTACGTACGGTGCGAAAGACATTAAACATACATACATACTATTCGCGTTCCTAGGTTGCACGTGAGGTGACATGACCAAAGCAGAGTTGAAGCGATAAAGACAGATTGCAAGTTCTTATTTCATCGCTTCTACACCTTTTCCATGGGCACATCTGAGCCAAGCCACCACAGGGCCCTCACGGCGTGGGTGTTTTTTTTATTGGATACTTTCCATGCCGAGCTGTAACCAAACCACTATTTACTGGCCTCACAAGACATTTGAATGAGACTCGGGGGTTGGGCAAGGACAGGGGTGTTGATAATGATACATTTATTGCGTGCGATATAAATTGGTACACTGTGAGTACACGGCATCGTCCGCCTAAATCTACAAAATTGTTCAGAATCGGCATCTTCATTTCGACTGCAGGAATCTAATGAGCTATGAAGCTCTTTTTCACAGATGTCCAGTAGGTAGGACGTCTGTCCACTTCATTGCGTTTGACATCAGTCGGTACCCAATGAGGACACAGCATGACTGTTTTTATTGTCCTTCCCCCGCACCTCCGATTGTCAAAGTTTGGTTATGTGTCCACACGTTCGTTGCATAGTGACATCAGCGGCACGGTTGGGCTTCGGCGAATGCGCCGCTGCTGGGCCATTGTCACCGCATCTCAGGTTGTACAAAGAGGTGGACACAGACTATAAGGTAATAGTATAGTGAATTATATTGGTTCGGGTTTCTGCAGTGGAATAACAAGCTGGAGCCTCCTGGGCCCGTGCCGGGCTGGCTCGGCTCGGGCCCAGGCTCGGCTCGGTATTACAGTGGGGGGAAAAAAAAGATTCGCCGATGGGTGTCTTGCGGCAGCCTCTCGACTGGTGTCGTGTTCAACGTGTTGACCTACGTATCGCCCCCCCCCCCCCCCCCGCCCCCTCTCTGCCGTAGGGAACCTTCCTTGTGGGGCAACCGGCATCGTCGTCATCGTCATCGCAGCCATCCCCAGTGAAGGCGGCCGGCTCCCCCGTGCAGCCCCACCCCCCCGGGAGCCCCTCCCCTGGCCCCGCCCGTGTGCCCACTCCAAGCCAGCAGGCGGCTGTCATCACACAGGTACCGCCCATTCCTAACGGTATCGCCTGGTATGCGGGAGGCCGTGGCTTCGGTCCCAACCCTTGATGCCTGTATATTTGGAGTTTGCGTGTCTCTCTCTCTCTCTCTCTCCTCATGGTTGCGTGGATTTTTCTCCGGGCCCGCCGCTGTTTCCCTCCACATTTAGAATCGTGTGTATAGAGCATTTGGCTGCAATAAATTTGCGCGTGATAATCCACTTAGCTGGGCTATCATTTGTGGCCAGGTCGCTGCTGAAAATAGCTATAAATGTAGCTCAGTGGACCTTACCTGGAAAATAAAATTAGTTTAAAATTGTATTTTTAGTCAGTAATCTCAACCGTAATTAAAATGATGTATCATCATTTCCACTGCTGGTTTGAAGACCTCCACAAGCCGCCACCAATCCTGCGACGCAAGAATTCACCAAGTACACGAGCAGATTTCATCGCTCCCACCCCTAGGGGGAGGACACGGTCTCAGGCGCGTTCCCTCCCTCGGCTGCCACTGTCGAGGCGTAGAGGGTGGGCACCAACAAAATTGGAAGACTGCGCCAGAGAAGACATGGGAATGAATGTAATGGCAGTTGGAAGAATGGCAAAGGCCGAAGGCAATGTAAGCTGCTGATCGTGAACGACGCAGACTCTCCATAGGGCTACGCTAAATAAAGAACGGTATGGAATGTATGCCTGTCATGTGTGCAGTAGCAGTCCACTTCCAGACCAAGTTAGGAAGTAAGCAAAGGGAGATACTTCACTCGTACTTGTATGCCGACGGAGATAACGGGAGACGCACAAACACAGAGGCAGACCCGTACATAGTGCAGACACAAGTGCTGTTGGCGAGCACCTATTGCGGCCGGCATGGCAATCGCGGGTGATGTGACCACCACCACGCACGTGGCTACTTTTGTAATCACAGTGCTTAAACGAAACGTACCACCACTCTCCCAGCACGTGTGGAAATTTCAGTTTGTCTATGTACGTCCGTCACCGTATTATTATTATATGCGCATTCCTCCGTTGTCAAAAAAGCTGGACAAATGAGTTATAACTGATTTACAGAAATCCTAATTGCTTGACAAAACTATGGCTCAGTAAATAGCCACTTGGTGATCATACTAATGTGTCCCGATGTTATACGTCTGCGTCTGAAAAGTGTCTGTAATGTACGTCGAGAAATGTCGGGAATGGCCATGTATTGGCGTTGTTGCGGGCGCGCTTATTTTCTTTAAAACCCTTAGACAAGGCTGAGTGGTTATGACAAATTGTTGGGGAATGGGGTGTGGGAGGAAACCTTCTGCCACGTAATTGATCTGAGCTTGAATTTAGCTCGAGGCTCGGGAAGCCTTCTGCTCGGGTCTGGGCTGACTGGCAATGTCAGTGGTCCGAGGACAAAAGTAGTAATAATAATGCCCCAATATTTACCTGGGTATGCCTCACTGAGTCTCGAAGACTCATTTTCAGGAGGGTTCTGCGTGAGATAGATGGCCACTGCAATTAACCCTTTCCTGTTCCGATGACGTAGGTGTACATCATCATTTTTTTTCCCGATCCCATTCTGATGACGTACACATATGAATTGTGAGTAAAAGGCCATGCGGGAGAACCTGTGGCACAGTTTGGCGCCGGCTATTGTAAGAGTGCGGTCGTGTTTTTACAGTTCTGTGCGGTGAGTACAATGTCTTTAAAAACAACGTCGCTATGCCTCTCTAAAAAAAAAATTACGCTGAACCACTTGTGCTTTCCAAGATTCAGCAGTAAACGGGACCCACCCTGAGACTTACAGACGGCTCGGAACGGGAAAGGATTAAGCTTTAAGTCAAGATTAATGAGTGTTTCATATGTGGCAAGAAACAGCATTTAGATTCCTTTCGAAACCAGATTTTCGTCGTTTGATTCTGGCTCGGCAAATAGCCAGTGGATAACCGCCCATACCACGCTGAGGTCCTCGACCTGGCTCAGCTTGGATGTACCAATCTAAAAGGGGTATACATTTCCATCCTTGCGTAGGTCGTGACAGCATGCTCGCCAGCCCGTCTGTGCGTCTAGAGCGCTCCCTTCCGTGTGCCTGTGGTGTCCTGAGTTGCTGGCTCCAGCGGTTGATTGATTGGCGGTGTCTGTGACTGCACGCCACAGATCATGCAGCCCCCGGGAAGCCCGTCGGTGCACCCCACGCCCTCGTCCAGCCCCGCGGGCCCCGAGGCAAGCCCGGCTAGGATCACCACGCCAGCTGCTCTGCCCCAGCATGTCGTGCCTGCCGCTGTGAGCATCTTGCACCTTGGCGTTTTCACCCCGCACCGCCATCTCTCCCTTCCGTGTGTCTCAAAGCGTTGCAGAGTCGACTCTTAGTTATCCATCGGTAGTGGAGAGAGTGGGTGCATTCTCGGGCGATTTGTACGCATGCACGTATGTATGTTGAACGTCGTTCGCACCGTACGTAGCCAACCCCGCTAATCGGAGGCGTGGGAGAAGGACAACAATCTAAACACAAAAAGCAGTTCTAAAAAATAAGTTTTCAATCTAGATTTAAAAGTGCATAGCTTCAGTGGCTTCCTAATATCGGAATGAAGAGCGTTCCAGACGGCCGCAGAAGCGCGTCTGAAAGCGTGCGATGCGGTGACCGTCTTTGTTCGATGGTGAGCCAAAAGCCGCTTCTGCGAAGATGCGTAAGCATGTGTTTGACTTACACCTCGTTTATAGTACAAGTGAGGCTCCTTAAATATTTATACATTATGTTGATTTACGTAAAAGCACCCCTAGTGATGTTGTGTCATGGATCTCAACTTTTTGTCTGTTTTTTTTATTTTTGCACCCAACCTAGCCGTGTATTTTTTAACCTCCAGTGTAAAGCATTTACCTTCGACCAAAAATCGCCCAGAGTGTGCCCCATCTCAACAGATCTCGGAAACCAAGTAGGGCTGAGCCTAGATATATTTTGGATGAGTTACCACTATGCACAGCAGGTTGTTATACATAATAGAGGTTTTTTTGGGTTAGATCGCGTAAATATATAAATGTGTCGTTAGACCTGCTACCACCCAACACAGATTGTAAATGTGTCTTGGCTCTCCAACACACCATTGTGCTGCACTTGTGACGAATTGGCACGTTCTGTTTACGTGACGACCCTTACTAGTTGGCTGTGTCGGGTGGTGGCGGGTTTGACGACACAACATTTAAATATTTACGCGATCTAACCCCAAAAAAAAACCTCTTCTGTATGATATTGGTCGCGAAAGCCTACGTGTTAAACAGGTTGTTATAGGCTGCGGGGATGAATGGCGGGCAAACCGAGGGAGGTGCAGAAACATTAATTGTTGTTACTCTTATGCTCCCCATTGCCTTCACCAACCCATGCTGAGTAGCGTGGTGCAGTATTATCTAATTAACCCCCACGACGCGCACGGCAGTGGACAGACCAAAGGAGCGCTCCACGTGTACACGTGTGGCTCAGCCGGTAAAATGGTCGCGCTCGTTGTACACAAAAGTGATTGCCGCAAATTTCGATCGAAAGCTTTCGTGACCGCAGGGATTCATATTCTTGGTTCTTTTGTGTGTCTTTGCCGAAATAAACCAAGAAAATGATTGCCGCACATTGACGACGATACCTGGCGGATCACGCGAACCCCGGTCATCCTCGCCGTGGCGGCCTTTGGCTGCTGGCCATCGAACAAAGACGGTGGTCACCGCATCGCGCGCGCTTCCAGATGCGCTTCTGCGGTCATCTGGAACGCTTTTCTTATCCGATATTAGGATGCCACTGGGGCTATGCGCTTGAAGATCTCGATTGAAAAGTCATTTCTTTAGAACGGCTTTTTCTCTTTAGTTTGTTGTCCTTCGGCCTCGCCTCCGATTAGCTCTGTTGGCTACGTACGGTGCAACAGAAGTTCACCGTACATTCGCATGCAAAAGAGCGGCAGTGTTGCCTGCCCTCCTGCCAGTCCCCGTTAAGATGCTTAACTTCCTCTGCGTTGATGAAGGGAGCAGATGGCCCTTCTTTCCTGGCCCCCGTCGGTTGAAGCGATCTCAACCGGGCCAAGAGTGGTGTACACAGAGAAAGCACGTTAAAAATGCTTTCCGGCAGATAATATATATTTAGTAAAACCTCCCTTTTCCTCCTAAACACGTCCAACCGCAGGGACGCAGCAACACAGTGGGCCCAGGAGCTCTGTGGGGTTGGATTTGCATGGCTAGTCGTTACATCGCAGGAACGCGAGAGGTGGCAATGGGTTTGGGGAAGTCTTCATCCAGCAGTAGATTGATCATGCCTGTTGATGATGAGACAAACGTTTTTCGAATGAAGCTGCTGTGTTTTTGAAATTGTCTTGTACATCACATGTTCATTTGCTTCGTTTTTGTCCAGGCTGTCCTGATTTTAAAGCTCAGATTGTGGGGTTTCATCATGTCAGTGTGTTTATATTAATGTGTCTACGATACGCATAGCGCTGCTGAAATATTCATCCATGTGCTACGACTATTTTTAAGAGGACTCGGTCTACGTTTTGTTTTGGTGGTGTCAGATTTATCACCAGGCAGAGGTGAGTAATTTTGCCGCACAGCAAGCACACGATGACCCGTCTAATGGAATTCTGATGTTTTGACGTTGCAACGATTTCCAGCCATTATCAAAGAGATTTTCTTTTTGCGTTTACATGCTTATTAAGCGGCATATTTCACAGGCCGAAGCGGATAGTTGTAAATCGCAGCCGTCGAATGTCATGTGGACGGCAGTTGGCGTTTCTGAGCGACAATTGCCGGTTTTGGATGTCCACCGCCGCACGGAGGGTACATTCGCGGGATGCTGCCGTGGTGTCAGGGCTAGCAGGCTGGACTCGTGAACCGAAGGTCACCGGTGTCCCCGGTTCATTCTCACGGCGCGGCACTCGAAACGAGAAACAGCGAAATCCCCCGCCCCAACGCCTCTGTCCCACCCAGCAACGCAAAGGACGTTCACTACAATGAGTTGCTCGGCATCCGAGTCGCGTAGTGCTGGGGTAAAGTGTGGGGGTACTGCCAACTCTCCGAACGTGTCTGACCAGTGTGGACGTGTAGGCTACATAGCCTCTTAGACAGGGGTGGAGCCACAGGGGGAGCTGGAGGGGGGGGGGCTCAGCCCCCCCTGAAATTTTGGGAAAGTCGGTTATCGGGATAACCGGATATCCGGCTGCTGCAAAATGCTGCAGGCTACCACCTTGTGTGCTGCCCTGCAGGCTGCCACCTTGTGTGCTGCCCTGCAGGCTGCCACCTTGTGCTGCCCTGCAGGCTGCCACCTCGTGCTGCCCTGCAGGCTGCCACCTCGTGCTGCCCTGCAGGCTGCCACCTTGTGCTGCCCTGTAGGCTGCCACCTTGTGCTGCCCTGCAGGCTGTCACCTTGTGCTGCTGCCCTGCAGGCTGACACCTTGTGTGCTGCCCTGCAGGCTGCCACCTTGTGTGCTGCCCTGCAGGCTGCCACCTCGTGCTGCCCTGCAGGCTGTCACCTCGTGTGCTGCCCTGCAGGCTGCCACCTTGTGTGCTGCCCTGCAGGCTGCCACCTTGTGCTGCCCTGCAGGCTGCCACCTTGTGCTGCTGCCCTGCAGGCTGCCACCTCGTGCTGCCCTGCAGGCTGCCACCTTGTGTGCTGCCCTGCAGGCTGCCATCTTGTGTGCTGCCCTGCAGGCTGCCACCTTGTGCTGCTGCCCTGCAGGCTGCCACCTTGTGCTGCCCTGCAGGCTGCTTGAGCGGCAGCCTTTCGAACTTATCGAACTTATTGGCCACATCAGCGGCTCCGACCTATTAATAAACTCCGCGTTCAAATCCAATCAAATTTGTTTTATACATTTGTGGCGCCCATTGGCAAACATAAACACTGGATATCTCAGAATATTGAAGTCAGCCCCCACAAAGTCAAAATTCTGGCTCCGCCCCTGCTCTTAGAGTGGGGGGGGGGGGTGGTGGAGGCTCTTCCGCCAGCAGTGGTGTGAGCAAGTAATTGCAAGGCTGCACCAATTATATTTCTAGGTATATTTGCCTCTGCGGCTATCCATAATCAATATCAGTTGCCTGCTAAAATACACTCTAAGACTGCATTCTGAGTTGGCAAACGCTCGGTAGAAATATATCCGCCTCTGAATCGCACTTTTTCCGGTCCGTTCGCTTGGCGTGCACCACGATGACCTGCAAACACGACAGTCTCACAACACGCCACCCACCGCAAAAAACACGGAACAGTAACCTCCGCGTATCCCTAACGCCACCTGTGAAAAAGAGCTTCATAGCTCGTCGGATTCCTCCAGTCTAAATAAAGAACGTGATTGCTACGATCTTCAAACGTCGCTGTCACGAAGTAGGGCAGCCAAGTTAATGAAGTGAGCCGAGTGCTCACTCTTCCAACTATGCAGCATCAGCAGCAGCTAATTTAACGTAGAATTTACACTTTTCACACCCATCGAGTTGGTGTTGGCACAGTCACACGCGCACACCCCCACCCCCCCCACACCCCCTAGTGCAGCAGCCTCGCTAATGTGACAGCGTTTTCAGTTTTTCTTTGCAGTGTCAGCTGGAAAGTGGCGGGGGGGGGGGGGTGCACAACAGCACTTTTTTACGTAGCTAAGTCTTTTATAAATAGCCCCTGTGTGTGTGTGTGTGTGTTTTAAAGCAAAGTCTGGCCCCGCCTGGTCGCTTTGAGTTGGCAACTGGGGTCAGCACAACGCCACCCTGCTACTTCACACACGTGACTGTGGGTGGGGCGGGGGGGTGGTAGCGGGGCTTTCTCCATGTTCGTCAGCGGTGTGAATGCACTGGTGTTTGTGAGCCTTGCAGATACCACGACTGCTGCTGATACTAACTACTACTGCTCACCCCCGGTTGTGCTATCCGTAGTGACGTTTGAATACAAGTTGGGGGTGGCTCTGAATAATTGCACTGGTGTTTGTGAGCCTTGCAGATACCACGACTGCTGCTGATACTAACTACTACTGCTCACCCCCGGTTGTGCTATCCGTAGTGACGTTTTAATACAAGTTGGGGGTGGCTCTGAATAATTGCACCGGTGTTTGTGAGCCTTGCAGATACCACGACTGCTGCTGATACTAACTACTACTGCTCACCCCCGGTTGTGCTATCCGTAGTGACGTTTGAATACAAGTTGGGGGTTGGCTCTGAATAATTGCACTGGTGTTTGTGAGCCTTGCAGATACCACGACTGCTGCTGATACTAACTACTACTGCTCACCCCCGGTTGTGCTATCCGTAGTGACGTTTGAATACAAGTTGGGGGTTGGCTCTGAATAATTGCACTGGTGTTTGTGAGCCTTGCAGATACCACGACTGCTGCTGATACCAACTACTACTGCTCACCCCCGGTTGTGCTATCCGTAGTGACGTTTTAATACAAGTTGGGGGTGGCTCTGAATAATTGCACTGGTGTTTGTGAGCCTTGCAGATACCACGACTGCTGCTGATACTAACTACTACTGCTCACCCCCGGTTGTGCTATCCGTAGTGACGTTTGAATACAAGTTGGGGGTTGGCTCTGAATAATTGCACTGGTGTTTGTGAGCCTTGCAGATACCACGACTGCTGCTGATACTAACTACTACTGCTCACCCCCGTTGTGCTATCCGTAGTGACGTTTGAATACAAGTTGGGGGTGGCTCTGAATAATTGCACTGGTGTTTGTGAGCCTTGCAGATACCACGACTGCTGCTGATACTAACTACTACTGCTCACCCCCGGTTGTGCTATCCGTAGTAACGTTTGAATACAAGTTGGGGGTGGCTCTGAATAATTGCACTGGTGTTTGTGAGCCTTGCAGATACCACGACTGCTGCTGATACTAACTACTACTGCTCACCCCCGGTTGTGCTATCCGTAGTGACGTTTGAATACAAGTTGGGGGTGGCTCTGAATAATTGCACTGGTGTTTGTGAGCCTTGCAGATACCACGACTGCTGCTGATACTAACTACTACTGCTCACCCCCGGTTGTGCTATCCGTAGTGACGTTTTAATACAAGTTGGGGGTGGCTCTGAATAATTGCACTGGTGGTTGTGAGCCTTGCAGATACCACGACTGCTGCTGATACTAACTACTACTGCTCACCCCCGGTTGTGCTATCCGTAGTGACGTTTTAATACAAGTTGGGGGTGGCTCTGAATGAATGCACTGGTGTTTGTGAGCCTTGCAGATACCACGACTGCTGCTGATACTAACTACTACTGCTCACCCCCGGTTGTGCTATCCGTAGTGACGTTTGAATACAAGTTGGGGGTGGCTCTGAATAATTGCACCGGTGTTTGTGAGCCTTGCAGATACCACGACTGCTGCTGGTACTAACTACTACTGCTCACCCCCGGTTGTGCTATCCGTAGTGACGTTTTAATACAAGTTGGGGGTGGCTCTGAATGATTGCACTGGTGTTTGTGAGCCTTGCAGATACCACGACTGCTGCTGATACTAACTACTACTGCTCACCCCCGGTTGTGCTATCCGTAGTGACGTTTGAATACAAGTTGGGGGTGGCTCTGAATAATTGCACTGGTGTTTGTGAGCCTTGCAGATACCACGACTGCTGCTGATACTAACTACTACTGCTCACCCCCGGTTGTGCTATCCGTAGTGACGTTTTAATACAAGTTGGGGGTGGCTCTGAATAATTGCACTGGTGTTTGTGAGCCTTGCAGATACCACGACTGCTGCTGATACTAACTACTACTGCTCACCCCCGGTTGTGCTATCCGTAGTGACGTTTGAATACAAGTTGGGGGTGGCTCTGAATAATTGGGTCAGCACCCTCGATTGTCCAGTGTTATGAAAGGGAGTGATGGCGAGGGTAAAACAAAAAACCTAAATAATGCCGACACCTATCTCAACTGGGAAATAATAACATTTGTACTGCATCGCTGCATGGAGCGAAGGTGAAGGTGAAAGATTGTGTCGTTCGTTTTTTTTTAACGTTTACCAAAGTATGCGGACCAGAGTTTGGAGCAGATAATAATAGAAGCAGTCGTGTCTAAAAGAAACACATCAGCAAATAAAGCAAAACGTGCATTAGACTTTTTTAAACTGCCCGTTGGCGAGATGTTGATCACCTCGCCCCGATTTCCAGGAAGTCGTGGGTTCGATTCAACCCCTAACGCCTGTATATTTGGAGTTTGCTTGTTCTCCCCGTGGGTCGCGTGGATTTTTCTCCGGGTCCTCCGGCTTTCTCTCCACATTTAGAATCAAAATGCATTCGGAGTATTTGACTGCTGTAAAAAGTCCCACTCGATAAACCGCTTTGTTGAGCTCTCAATTGTAGCCAGGTCCCTTCTGAAAGAGAGCTAAATAAGCTCAGTGGGCCTTACCTGGTAAAATAAAAAAAATAGTTTCGTTTTAGTTTGATATGATTTGCTTTAAAATCAACCTGCAGTAAAAGGATTTAAATATTGGCAGCCTACCGCTTGGGTTTGTGGGCTCCGCAAGTAGGATTGTGATGTGCCTTGCTTGTAATTAGGGGCGCCTCCAGATGGCAATACTCCAGCGCAGTCTTCGAGACAGTCTGGTCCCTTCACCTGATGAAGGCCGCTCGTGTTGTGGCCGAAACGTCGTGATTTTTGTTGTTTTATTTTTTACCTACGTGACTTTACCGAATATGCACAAAGAGTATGGATCCTTGCAGTCACGAAAGCTTCAAATCTAGAATACTACAGTACTGTACATTTTATAAGAGTCACGATAATCATATCGTCGATTTTGCTAAATATCATTGTCACATTGAACGTTTGAACTGAATTATTTTTTTTACAAACATTTATTTTCTGACAAAATATTTTTTGAAACAAACACAACCATTAAATTAGCACTTTGCAAGAAAAATGTTTTGGAATGGCGGCATGGTTGTTAAATTGCGTCATTGTTGCCGTGTATTTCATTGCTTGATCATTTACAGTCGTGTGCGTTACAAGCGTTACGGTTTGTAACGTTGCATCGATCGGTGAATTGCAGATGATGAACGATTTAGTAATCCTCATTCCAACTGGAGGTACGCAAGGGCACACGAACGATACCATCGAAAAAAAATGCGTGTAATCGCAAAGGTACGGGTAACGATTTTTTTGCGATAATCATCACATCTAGGGATTGCATACCGTATCTTATTGTGGGAAACCATTTTGCGACAGCACTTACCGACCACACATCGATTGTAGTCATCGCTATTACGGCCGAAGCGCGGGTAGCGTTCGGGTGAAGCAATTGGGGTGTTTTCTTTCCTCCGCGGCAGATTGTGGCCAGACAGGTCGAGCACAGACCCAAGATTGTGCCCGGGTAAACGCGCGTGTAAAGCCCAGTCTTTCCTAGAAAGGGCTTGGGTTTCTATAATAAGCCGTGCCAACATCTGTTACCTAACCTCCTGTCCGTGTTACGCTGCCTTCTGCCTTGACCAATGTGCTGTTTACGGTTTTACGTAATCTTTTTAGGTATGTTCTGCCGTGTGTGTGTGCGTGTGTGTGATGTACGTAAATCTTTCACATTTGAGAACAATTGAGAGTCTGGTGGGGACACGTTTCAGTTCCACTGTATGTGTTGAATTGAGAGGGATTGGCAACGCGTGTGTTTGATGTTGAATTGACGTCCCTGTTGCTGGTGTTCGCTGAACCAAACGGCTCGCTCAGCTGCGAGTTATTTTTGATCGAGTTACGAAAATAAACGAAATGAAGTCGACATGGACATATGAGTAAATAAGTTTACGTGTAACCTGGATAGATGGCTGTGATCATGTAAGGCTCTTTGTCATTCCGATGCTAGATGAAGGCCTGCTCTACGCTGTGTCGGTCATGAGGGCTGTGTACCCATTCTGCACCACGCTGGTCAGTGCGCGTCGGTGAAGGTGGGATGCCCGAGGACTGATTCCGATATCACTTGCCACTGATGTTAGCCATGGTCGGGAATTGAACTTAGGTTGCCGGGTTCGTAGCGCAGTGTGCTAACCTCTGTGCCACCGCTCCACCCATTCTACCAATTCAATGACCTACCTTTTCTTTTGGCAGGATATCAAAACAATGATCACTCGTACAAAAAATGTACACTATTTAAAAAAAATATATATTACGTAAACAAATCCAGGAAATACTCGGAAAGCTTAAAACGGGCAAACAGAAGCGAACCAATCTGGAGACCTCCATATCCTCTAGAAACAATCACGACAGCTCACCCTCTCACCACAGTGGGGGGTTATGACGCTAGCCCCCCCCCCCAACCTTCCTCCCTGCCGCCATGTCAGCCGGGCAAGCCGTGTGCGCCGTCTACGGCACAGCCGCCGTCGCCCCAGGCCCCCGATCCCAGCTGTCGTTACAGCGGTAGCCTGGCAGATGCTGCCACCCAGTGGCTGTGAGGCTGCAGAGGAACGTTGTGTCCTATAAATTCTAATGCGCCCTTCACACGAGAGCACTTTCTGACGTGACTTGAGGTTATTGGCTATTTGCCATGACCTGGGCTTTGTGACCAGGTTACAGCTAGGAGGCTCATCATGTGGGCTATGGGGCCGGCCATAAATGACGTCATGCACCTGGGGGGGGTGGGGGGGGGGGCGTGGGGGTCAGACATTTGTGACGATGTGTGACGATGGGGGGCGGGGGGTTGAGAAATGTGACGTCACACCAAAATGCGCAACTTTAAATAAAAATAGACAACACGTTCTACTTCATAAACTTTTTAATAAATGTTTTCTCCGACAACATCAGAGTGCATCGCCACATTAAATACGCGCTACTATGACATCATGTGGGCTATGTCGTGGGTGGCTGGACACCTCCACATGTTTTTAGACATGCCTAGGAGACACCCGCAACAAATAAAGGTGCCATGAAGGCCGATGATGCCGCTAACTTAACGTGTAAATACACATGATTGTACGTAGAACTTCTTTCGTGTCGTACTTGGCCAACCTTGCTAAATCGGAGGTGCGGTGGAAGGACAACAAACGAAACAAACTAGACAGTAGCGCACACAGCTGTAGCCTTGGTACCGAGTCAGCAGTTGAGTCCATTTAACGTAACGAGAGAGCGGTGTAACTCCTATTTTTCTCCGACGACGGAGTGTGTTGGCGAACTTTGCGGGCGCCACCTACCATCTCGCCGATAACCACGGGGGCAACGGCCCTCGCTCGCAGGGACAATCCCCCCCAACCCCCCACACCCCCGCAGCTTACAAACACACGTGGCTGTGTGCGCGTGCCCCTCAGGGCGCGACGATGTCGGGTCTGACGCTGTCCCTCAGCAGGCCGCCCTCGGCACACATCCTCCTCTCCCCTGGGCAGCAGCTCGTGGCCACGCCAGAGAGCGGCAGCTCCCCAGCGCATCAGGTAAGAGGGCAAAGAAGAGTTTAACACCATATTCTTAGCTCTTTCGGTAAAGTCACGTTGAAGGGAAACAATAAAATAATAAAATATGGATTACTGCAGTCACGAAAGCTTTAAATCAAAAAGTTTAACACCTTCTTTGGTTCTTTGGGTAAAGTCACGTGGAATGAGAATAAAATAATAAAAATAAGACGATAAAATTCTCACGACGTTTCGGCCACAACGCAAGTGGCCTTCTTCAGGTGAAGAGACAGACCTGTCTTGTGTTGTGGCCGAAATGTCGTGCGAATTTTATGGTTTTATTTTATTATTTTATTCTCATTCTACGTGACTTTACCCAAAGAGCCAAAGAAGATGAATCCTTGCAGTCACGAAAGCTTTAAATCGAAATTTAAGAGTTTAACACGTTCGTAGGCTTTCGCGACCAAATATTATTCATAATCAAGAGGTTTTTTGTTTTGGGATTCGATCGCGTAAAACCGCGACCACCCGACACAGACAATTAGTATGGTTTGTGACGTTAAGAAAATGTGCCAATTGCTTCAGCGCACCGGTGTGTTGGAGATTAAACCCTAAACGTCGTACTCGCATTGTGAATGCCGTGAGTTTACTTTCCAACACTCCGGTGTGCTGAAGTAGTAACTAACTGGCACGTTTTCTCGTGGGACCTTTGAAATACTGTAGGTGCATGCCAAACCGAATTCTTCCACAAAACTGAAATTCAGCTGTCAGCACAAAAATGGAAAATGGGCCCGCAGAACGATTGCCCGCTGCCCCCAGGTCGTCCTCCCCACCGGCGTCTCCCTCGGCAACAAGCCGGTGTCCACGACAGCGGCTGGGATGGCCGCGCTCCACGCGGCTGGATTCCCCGGAAAGGCCGTCGCCACCAAGTCCGGTAGCAGCCCTTCCACGTGGCTTTGGACGGCCTTGCCGCCGCGCCCGGAGCCTCCTCCACGCGCCTTGCACTCACGCGCGTGTACACAAGAAGTGTGCCAGCGGGACATGGCAGCTCGTGGTTTGTTTACCAGAGCAATGCATACTTATCATCTCCGTTTATTCATTCGGCGAGAGCGTAATTGCCGAAGGCGTGCGATAGTGTCCTCGGTGACCATGCGCAGCTCTCGTAGCGCTCCGCCGAACTTGGTGGGCAGTCATCGGCAGCGCGCGACGTGGTGGTTTTGTACGGTGCCACAGCCGCAGTTGTGGGTTTTTATGAAGGGGGACCCCCCCCAACGGTGGAGGTTGGCTTCACAGAGACCTTGCCCTCTACAGAACCTGTTCAGCAAGGCCCACTGATGGATGTATATCTAAGCAATCAATAATCAATCATGGTCCTGCAATATATAAATCTGCCTAGCACAGGCAACCAAAATTACCAAGAAGAGGCATTTTTTTTCGAATTCGGTACATACGAAATATTTCAAGGTCCACGATGGATGTGAATTCGAGATGGTGGTGGCCCTTAATAAATAACGTCACGCAGCAGTCCTCCGAGAGCCGCGTGCGGCTCTGGAGCCACAGGTTGCCGACCCCGTACACAGGAGCTGATGCCGTTGCTCGATGGGCGCTTCTCGCGTGCATTCCATTCCCTGGCTGCCACTCCATCGTGAGCCTTGACCAACCTGCCGCCAATCCTTCCAGCGACGTGACCTGCTGCAGTCCGCTCAAACACTCGACCTGGAACAATCTACCGTGTCCACCCGCCGTTGGACGATTTTTTTTCCACGATTGGGTGGCGCGACTCGATACACGCAGGAGGGCTGCTGGAGTTGCAGACCGTGGGGCCAGGCAGAGTAGAGTGAGCAACGTCGCACTGAGCCAAGGGTGACTGGGGTCTTCATCGGAGCGTGTGGAGAGGAGCAGAGTGAGATGAGAGGGGAGAGGCGCGCAGGGGCGACTTCGTGGAAGATCTTGTGGACGATGAGCGCAGTCGTGAAATTAAATTCGAGATTCAAATTGGGGAGCCAGCTGAGCAAACGGAGGGTTGCGCTGACGTGGTCTCATTTGCAGATGCGGGCGAGGACTCTGGCAGCCACGTTTTGTAAACTAATCGACAGCCACCCAGCACGGTTTGATGCCCATATGGTGAACGTGCCTCCGGTTAGCACGGTTGGCTGCATACGTTTGCAAAACAAATTCTAAACGCGTACGTACATAATCGCTGAGTCGCCGCGCGTTCGCACGCCTGACGCGCACGCTCCCCTCGCGGCCCCTCCCCTCGCGGCCTGCGCCAGCAGGCGGCACCCTGAAGCTCCAGTCGAGCGGCTCCCCGGCGGGGCCTCAGCAGGCGGTGCTCTCCATCCCCGCCAGCCAGCTCAAGCAGCCGGCCGTCCCCAGCGCCAGCTCTGGGGTTCACACCGCGCTGCTGCCGCTGCAGCCGCTTGCCAAAGGTGCCAGGCTACACGGGGGGCGTGTGCGCGAGCGTGTGCATGGGAGCGGCGGTGCAGCGGTTCGCGCGCTGCGCTCCGAACCCGGGCCCACCAGAGTTTCGATTCCCGCTCAAGGCCCACGTCGGTGACGGTTATCTGAACCAGTGCCGGGCTTCCCCTAGGTCAACTCAGCCTCAAGTGAATACCTGGTGCGGTTAGTAGTAAACATCGTCGCTGGGGAGACAAAAGCAGGTCGGGCGTGGTGCTGGCCGCCCACCCCCTCTTGTGCCGTCCCGGCCTTTCATAGGTGCTCACTAACCGCACCTGCCCCAACAGTATGTGAAGGCTATACAGGAGAGCTTTGTCTTTGTATGTATATACGTTGAACTTCTTTTGCACCGTATGTAGCCAACTGTACTAATCGGAGGTACGGGGGAAGGACAACCAACTTCACGCAAAAACAAAACGAGCGTGAGAGCGTGAGTGCGTTGTGCATGCGTCCGGTCAGTTCTGTTCGTTCAGGTGTAACCGGCGTTTGTGTGGCCATTGCGTTGGCTCGCACCCTAACCGAGCTTCAGGTTAAACGTGAAGGGGTCATGTCTCAGAGGGCTCCAGTGGATGGCGTGAGTGAGCCATATCCCACTCGTTCTACCCACCGCACGGCTCCACCTTTTGAGTTTATTGTTTATTTTTTTTGGGTTTTCAACCGAGCGCTGCACTCCCTTTGCCATAACACCCTGAACCACACGCACGCTACCTCCCGTTGCTGAACATTTTCCTGCAAAATTACCCAGTTGGGATTAAGCAGAGCAGCAACATCGCTCCCTGCTACTGCGAACACTTGGGCAGGACCCGCCTGAAAAGAAGAGTCGTGAGGCTTTCCTGGATAAACAAGCGTCAACAAGAATTGTAATAATTTGTTCAGAATGGATCTTGGCCCCCTACCCCTTCATCGACCTACTTACACCGTCGTAGTGAAATATGGTCAAACAAACCCCCACGGCTGACACGGCTTGGGGAGGCTTTTACCAACGGTGGATTGACAACGGCCTGTAAACTATTGTAATGACAGTACAACAACAACCGCCATTCGCCACTAAGTGGCGGTGACGTCACCACGGCGCTTGTGCCAGGCCATGTGCACGTTAAGGCCACGTGAAAGTGTCGAACGCCCGCTGGCAGGAGGTCACGGGACAGACCCAGGTGCCATGGGTCGACTGCCTGAGATGACTGGCCGATGCACCACTTGTGCCCCTTACTGTGCCAACATAATTACAGTATAGGCATTCCTTGATGTATGCGATAGATGCGCTCCTGGAAATGCGCGCGTATCTCAAAATCGCGTTACGTCAAAAGCAATTTTCCCATAAGAAATAATGGTAAAGGAGGGGGTTATGGGATTTCATTCACATTCGCAGACATAATCGCCCATATTATCCTAACCTATATCAGTACAATACATCCATAATACAAGATCATGCAATATCATACTTTCAATTAAAAAGAAAATCACATCAACTCTAATTTACTTCCTATAAAATAAAATAATAAAAATAAACACAGCATCACTCACCTGTAACCACGCCGGAGTTGCGTAGTGGAGACAGGGTGGATGGAGACGGTGTTCACAAGCGAAGATGCTGTACGGCGTAGCACGCTCGTCATCCTGCCGCCCTGGCTGCTGGCAACGCCATTGGGTCACGGTGCCGGGCTAGGGTGGCGCATGTCGCATTGCAGACGACGTTATTCCGGAAATGGCCTCGCGTGGGTCGATTTGAAGGTCTAAATACAAGGCGCGCGTTATTCCAAAATGGTGTACCGCAAATGCACGTAAACCGAGGATCGCCTGCCTTATTATCATGACAGTCGACGATGCATTAAAGCACTCGGCTACCCAGAGGAGTGCGTAAATGTATCGTACGTGTCGAGACCCTGTTTGTTCGTTGGCTGCTGAATGAGGGCCTCTTCGCACGCCTTGCGGGTCGGTGAAGGAAGCAGAGTGCAGAACAACAATTTTAATAAAAAAAACATACCTTCGTTGTTGAAATAAATAACTCGGCTGAGTCTGTATGCCATGGACGCCATTTTAGAAGCTTTACGTTTCTGATATTACATTGCGTTTTTTTTTCCTTTTTGTTTTAATTTCCAAAAGTGATTTATTTATTATCATTTTCTGTTCACGTTTTTTTATAATTTCACCACGCGTGCTTGTGCTGTCCGTTATTCATTTCCCGTGTGTGTCTGTTGCGTCCGGTAGCTCAGGCCCAGTCTAGTTCGGGGCCTGTCATGAGCCCCAGCACCGAGGCTCTGCCTCCCAACTCCCCCGGCCCCACTTCTCTGCAAGGTAAATGTCCTCATCCTGCCCACCACGTGGGTTGCACAGCCTCAGTCGTCCGGAGCTGGGCCCTCCGGCTGTTCAAGTCATTTCTTGCTCTGCCGATTATCGGCTTCAATCTCAGAGACCTGCTGAAACCGTATGCCCCTGTCCGGCAACTTCGATCCGCCAATTCCCGGAACTTTGAGTGTACCAAGGACAAATCGGGAGTTCGATGGGGGATCGAACTTTCCAGTAGTCAGGCACCTCGTTTGTGGAACGTCTTGCCCCCAGACCGTTGGGAACTTTCCGTGAGTCGAGGTTTTTAGGTCTCGTCTGAAAAGACGTTTAATTTCTCTCGCGTATCCGTCCGTCTGTGAGAGGTTGTTTTTCTCTCGGTTTTAATGTGCGGGGTTTTTACTGGGATTGTGTTTGTAAAGCGCTGCGGAGGCCTTGCGCGAAAGGCACTATAATAAAACTCTTACTTGATTTACTAATTTACATGACACCCGTCGGGTAACACAGAAATATATGGGGGTGGAGGGAAAAGTAGCACGTCCGTTCTCATGTGGTGCTGCTGTACGGGCGGTGGTGGGCACGGCTTGGTGATGCAATCGGCATCGGCATCAGCCGCGTCACACTGGGCGTGGCAGAGGTTTCCTGCCTTCGGGGGAGGCAGATGTTGGGGCGGCTGCCGTTTTTAAGGGCGGCCCGAGTATTGATAGAATCAAATTTTTTGTCAATTGATCGACTAAGTTGACTCATCATCTCAGCTCTGCTTTAGCCTTGGGAGTCTCAAGACATGATCTTCATACCGCTATCGGTTCTATAAATGCATACTCCAGCAGGTTATCTTTTCTTACCACGATAGATCCTGTATGCGCCGAAAAGTATCAGCAAGGAATAGATATGTATGTTGAACTTCTTTCGCACCATACTTTAGCCAACCATGCTAATCGGAAGTTTAGGAGAAAGGACAGCAAACTAAATACAAAAAGCAGTTTTAAAGAAATGAGTTTTCAATCGAAGAATTCAAAGTGCATAGCTCCAGTAGCTTCCTAATATCAGAAGGAAGAGCGTTCCAGATAGCTGCAGAAGCGCATGTGAAAGCGCGCAATTGCAATGACCGTCTTTGATGGCTAGCGAAAAGCCACTGCGAGGATGGCCGGAGTTTGCCTCCAAATCATATCGTGACCCAGAATCTTGCCATTTAATTAAATCGTGGATGGGATGAATGTGGTTGCCTTCCGCATTATGCACCTTTTGTATTGGTACGTGTGCATGCCGTATGTGTGTGTGCGAATGCGTGAACGCACGTGCAGTGAAAACGGAGCCTGGCACTGCCCCTCTGCCCGTGGAGCTGCCCGGAGCCTCGGGGCCTCTGCTCGAGGTCAAGTCGGAGCTGCCCTCCCCCGGCGTGCAGGATAGCACCTCCGCGAACGTCCTCGTTGAGTGAGCCTCTCTCGCACCGCCAGACAGCGCCGCCGCCTTTGATGACGACCGTGCCTTGGTCATCAGCCGTGGTCTGTATACAACGAGATGCTGGGGTGGGGAATTTAAGGCCCCACGGACCAGATACGACCCCATGACTTAAATTTGTATATGGCACACAACCCCGTTATATAGAGCCCACAACTTCATTTCACACGGCGCTACCACTTCAAAACGAGCCACAGAATACATTTATCCGTCGCTGCAAGCATCTCAGACCCACTAAGCGGGTACTCAAGGGGGAATATTTTTGACTTTGTAACACTGTCATTTTAGCGCTGTGTGGTGATGTGTGACTGGCCAGAGGAATTTGACAGTGCTACTCGGCCCTCGGTAAAGAAAAGCTTCCCCACCTCTGTGGTTGCCCAGTTAATTATAAAAAGGATTCGATCGACATTTTAATTACAGTGCATCAACCCCTTGCATCAAACCAAGCTCACGAGATATTTTTTTGTAGTTTTCGCAGTTACACTCCGAGTCTGTGTACGTTCACATGGGCACGTGCACCACTTTGTCAGAATTCGCTGTTCCATCACTCATGTTTGAGGAGGGCCTCTTAACTGAGATTATCACAGAGCTACTGCTCAGCCTCCCACATTTGCGTCTTCTCCGCACTTGGAAGTGCTGCGCTTTCCCATTTGCTTTGCTATAGGTATGCTTGTCCTATGGCAGTCATATGGAAATGTACCTATGTATGTACGGTGAGGGAAAAAAAATATTTTATCCCCTGCTGATTTTGTACGTTTGCCCACTGACAAAGAAATGATCGGTCTGTATTTTTAATGGTAGGTTTATTTGAACAGTGAGAGACAGAATAACAACAGAAAAATCCAGAAAAACGCATGTCAAAAATGTTATGAATTGATTTGCATTTTAATGAGGGGAATAAGTATTTGACCCCTCTGCAAAACATGACTCAGTACTTGGTGGCAAAACCCTTGTTGGCAATCACAGAGGTCAGACGTTTCTTGTAGTTGGCGACCAGGTTTGCACACCTCAGGAGGGATTTTGTCCCACTCCTCTTTGCAGATCTTCTCCAAGTCATTAAGGTTTCGAGGCTGACGTTTGGCAACTCGAACCTTCAGCTCCCTCCACAGATTTTCTATGGGATTAAGGTCTGGAGACTGGCTAGGCCACTCCAGGACTATAATGTGCTTCTTCTTTAGCCACTCCTTTGTTGCCTTGGCCGTGTGTTTTGGGTCATTGTCATGCTGGCATACCTATCCACGACCCATTTTCAATGCCCTGGGAAGGAGGTTCTCACCCAAGATTTGACGGTACATGGCCCCGTCCATCGTCCCTTTGATGCGGTGAAGTTGTCATGTCCCCATAGCAGAAAAACACCCCCAAAGCATAATGTTTCCACCTCCATGTTTGACGGTGGGGATGGTGTTCTTGAGGTCATAGGCAACATTCCTCCTCCTCCAAACACGGCGAGTTGAGTTGATGCCAAAGAGCTCCATTTTGGTCTCATCTGACCACAACACTTTCACCCAGTTGTCCTCTGAATCATTCAGATGTTCACTGGCAAACTTCAGACGGGCATGTATATGTGCTTTCTTGAGCAGGGGGACCTTGCGGGTGCTGCAGTATTTCAGTCCATCACGGCGTAGTGTGTTACCAATTGTTTTCTTGGTGACTATGGTCCCAGCTGCCTTGAGATCATTGACAAGATCCTCCCGTGTAGTTCTGGGTTGATTCCTCACCGTTCTCATGATCATTGCAATTCCACGAGGTGAGATCTTGCATGGAGCCCCAGGCCGAGGGAGATTGGCAGTTCTTTTGTGTTTCTTCCATTTGCGAATAATCGCACCAACTGTTGTCACCTTAATAAAGTATTAAAGCTTTCATGACTGCATAAAATTACTCATTGTTTTTTTCGGTAAAGTCACCAAGCTGCTTGGCAATGGTCTTGTAGCCCATTCTAGCCTTGTGTAGGTCTACAATCTTGTCCCTGACATCCTTGGAGAGCTCTTTGGTCTTGGTCATGGTGGAGAGTTTGGAATCTGATTGATTGATTGCTTCTGTGGACAGGTGCCTTTTATACAGGTAACAAGCTGAGATTACGAGCACTCCCTTTAAGAGTGTGCTCCTAATCTCAGCTCGTTACCTGTATAAAGACACCTGGGAGCCAGAAATCTTTCTGATTGAGAGGGGGTCAAATACTTATTTCCCTCATTAAAATGCAAATCAATTTATAACATTTTTGACATGCGTTTTTCTGGATTTCGTTGTTGTTATTCTGTCTCTCACTGTTCAAATAAACCTACCATTAAAATTATAGACCGATCATTTATTTGTCAGTGGGCAAACGTACATAATCAGTGGGGGATAAAATACTTTTTTCCCTCACTGTATGTTGAGCTTTTTTCACACCGTACATAGCCAACCGTACTAATCGGAGGTGCGGGAAATGTTTAATTCTCAGAGCTGGTATTTGCCAAATTAAGTGAACAAAAAAAAACATTTTAAATAGCAACACGTGGGAATCCTTTAAATCGCTGTTGGTTGCGAGGATTCACACCCAGGGTCACCGCGGAGGTGCCGGCCGATTGCTGCGACCTCTTGGGCCGACGTGCCACCTCCTTTGCAACCTTTTTACACGCTATCTTTTAACTCACTCTGTTGTTGTCGTTGTTGTGGTTGTTGTATCCTCAAATCTTGCAACTCAATGTTAACCCACTTCCCAATGTGGTATCGACTGCAAACTTGGTATACTTATGTCATACTGATGACAATAATATATTCTATCATAAATATAAAATATAGATTTTTAAACATTCTTTTTTATATGTTATGTTTCGGCTTGGGTCTAATTGTCCACGCTCAACTGACGTTGGCTGTAAATGGCCGTGGTCCCTTACGTTATGGCAAGCTTTGGGGCCACTTCCTGGAGTCGTGGAGTTCTGCCATTACTAGTACATTTAATAAAAGCTTGTTTAAAAAAAGTTTATTTACATATTACTTATGATTTAGTTGTCAATCATTAGTCCACAGTTCCCCTTTGGCCTGGTTGTGAAAACGTCGACTCAGCGGTGCGTCAGTGTACACAGAGACCCTTGACCTTTGAGCAAGCTGCTCTGCTCTGTGATTTTTCTCCCAGCGTTCATTCTACGCTCCGTTGTTATTTCAATTATATGTTGATTGTAAACCTCTTTTGACCTTGCCAGTTCCATCACATCCAAGTCTGCAACGTTTAAATCATTTTCCAATGCTGTCAACATTTTTTTTCCGAGCGATCTTCCAGTGAATGCTTTTCATTTCATTGGGGCGCCGTGGTGGCGAAACGTTAACTACCTCGCCCGGTATGCAGGAATTCGTGGGTTCGATGCAGATCCTGACGCCTGCTGATATATTTAGAGTTTGCGTGTCTCTCTCACTGTGGCCACGTGGATTTTTCTCTGGGCCCTCCAGTTTTTCCCTCCAGTTAGAATCAACGTCACGCGTTTAGAGTGATTGTCTGCTGTAAATTTACCCACGATAAGCCACCTCGTGGAGCTATAATTTCGTGATGGCCAGGTCACAAGTTTATTTTAGCTTTTATATTTCATGATCATTTATTTATGAATAGTGTGGCCGACATTGTCACTCCGTTCACCAGACGTGCTCAGGTCTCCTGGCATTTTTAGCCGAAGCGATGCAGGATACTGCAGACACAACAACAACTGCTGTTATTGTTTCTGTTTCTCTCAGTGTTGATCACATTGAGAACATAGATCAGCTTCTGACCGCCATCGTGAAGAAGGTCCCACTGCTGGTGAGCGAGAGAGGTACGTAACACCGTCCGTGTATGGGGTTTCCCACCCCACCTTCGCTTGAATGTTCCTGGATTAACAAAGTCAACAAATTGGATTAAAAGACATTCCCAAAAGCGCATGCAAGCAAAAGTGCGTACATGCATGTGCACTAACACGTATGCCAATCCACTGCTGGATGAAGGCCTTCCCATGCCGTGCGAGTCATGGAGGGATATTTGACCGTACTTCACGCTGTTCAGGGTGGGTTAGGTGTAGGGTGGAGAACATAGATGTAGAAGCATCGAAGTATAGACGCAACAATAGCTTTTGCCGCACTGCCCTCTGCTTCCCACCACGTAGCCGCACAATCCGCCTGTTACAATCTGTTGCAAAGTAACTTTATAGCTCATCAGATTCGTCCAGTATTCGTAAAGGTGCTGATTCTGATTTAATGGGGGTCACTTACCCAACATAACAACTTAAGGTTGTCTGTGATGTTTCTCCGAGTTGTACCGCGTGTCGTTGTGAAAGACTTCGGACGCTTCTCTCCATGTACGTGGGACACTCTTCCAAAACAATTCCTGAACAACCCGCAAAGAACGCTGCAACGTGAAAATGCATCGGAGGGCCGTGCCAAAAACTTACACGGTGTGACTCCCCATCGCCTTCGATTATGATGGCGATTTTTAAAGAGCAATTGGGGATAGCCAGCTAATTGTGTGTGTGTGTGGGTGTCAGCAGGAGAATCGACGACGCACCCGTTCTGCGCTACGTCGCTGGAGCAGTTCTACAGCTGGAATATCGGCAAACGGAGAGCCGCAGAGGTACAGCTTCCCCACTGATACCCAACAAAACCTGTGGCCTCGTCTCGGCTTTGTCAAAGTAAAAACTTAAACTTTTAACTTTTATTTTATTCAAAAACAATGGTGCAGCCGAGCAAAATTGCTCATTCACGCCACTGCTGGCAGAAGGATCTCCACCCCCCCACCACCACCAGAGGGAGCTCTAGAGGGGGGAGAGACCCTCTTGATCAGGGATCGGAAAGCGTGCTAATCGGAGGTGAGGGGGAAAGACAACAAACTAAACACAAAAAGCAGTTTTAAAGAAATTAGTTGAGTAAAATTAAATGAGTCGTCGTCGTCAGCCAACCTGTGGATCCGGAGCCGCATCCGGCTCTTGAAACATCAAGGGTTTTTTATTTTTTTACCAAATTCGAAAAAAATATGGCTCTTGTTATTTTGGTTGCCAACCCATATCTATGGGAGTCCAGTTGACCATGGAAGTCCAGTTCACCCTGGAAATCCAGTTGATGATGGAAGTCCAGTTGACCATGGAAATCCAGTTGACCATGGGAGTCCAGTTGACCATGGGAGTCAAGTTTACCATGGAAGTCCAGTTGACCATGGAAGTCCAGTTGACCATGGGAGTTCAGTTTACCATGGGAGTGCAGTTTACCATGGGAGTGCAGTTTACCATGGAAGTGCAGTTGACCATGGGAGTCCAGTTGACCATGGGAGTTCAGTTTACCATGGGAGTTCAGTTTACCGTGGGAGTCCAGTTTGCCATGGGAGTCCAGTTTACCATGGGAGTCAAATTTACCGTGGGAGTCCAGTTTACCGTGGGAGTCCAGTTTACCGTGGGAGTCCAGTTTACCGTGGGAGTCCAGTTTACCGTGGGAGTCCAGTTTACCGTGGGAGTCCAGTTTACCGTGGGAGTCAAGTTTACCGTGGGAGTCCAGTTTACCGTGGGAGTCAAGTTTACCGTGGGAGTCAAGTTTACCGTGGGAGTCGAGTTTACCGTGGGAGTCCAGTTTACCGTGGGCAGTCGTTGGCAACCTGTGGCTCCGGAGCCGCATGCAGCTCTTTGAGGACTGCAGCTTCACGACCGTTATTGACTAAGGACCGTCTCCTATTCTTTGAGGACAGCTGCTTCATGACCGTTACTTACTAAGGACTGTCTCCTATTCTTTGAGGACTGGCTCACGACCGTTATTTACTAAGGACAGTCTCCTATTCTTTGAGGACTGCCTCACGACCGTTATTGACTAAGGACCGTCTCCTATTCTTTGAGGACTACCTCACGACCGTTATTGACTAAGGACAGTCTCCTATTCTTTGAGGACAGCTGCTTCATGACCGTTACTTACTAAGGACTGTCTCCTATTCTTTGAGGACTGGCTCACGACCGTTATTTACTAAGGACAGTCTCCTATTCTTTGAGGACTGCCTCACGACCGTTATTGACTAAGGACCGTCTCCTATTCTTTGAGGACTACCTCACGACCGTTATTGACTAAGGACAGTCTCCTATTCTTTGAGGACTGCTGCTTCATGACCGTTACTTACTAAGGACTGTTTCCTATTCTTTGAGGACTGCCTCACGACCGTTATTGACTCAGGACAGTCTCCTATTCTTTGAGGACAGCTGCTTCATGACCGTTACTTACTAAGGACTGTTTCCTATTCTTTGAGGACTGCCTCACGACCGTTATTGACTAAGGACAGTCTCCTATTCTTTGAGGACAGCTGCTTCACGACCGTTACTTACTAAGGACTGTTTCCTATTCTTTGAGGACTGCCTCACGACCGTTATTGACTAAGGACCGTCTCCTATTCTTTGAGGACTGCCTCACGACCGTTATTGACTAAGGACCGTCTCCTATTCTTTGAGGACTGCTTCACGACCGTTATTTACTAAGGACCGTCTCCTATTCACGTGCATTGCGGCTCTGGAAATATTGTGAGTTTTGATTTTACCGAATTCGAGGTGGGACCGCCCACACTTTACCCCACCACGTGCAACCTTCCCATCGACTGTGCAGTGCCCATTCGTACCTCTGGTTGGGTGGACAGGGGCGGAGGATATTCAAGAGACTTTCCTCACTGTTGCCACAGGTTTTGCAATCCATTGTGCTGACCGTTGGACCACCGTGGCAGCATCGCTGTTTAAATAAATGGGATATAACGGGGCACCCCCTCAGCTTAGGGGCGCCACGGTGGCGATATGTTAATGACCTCGCTTAGTAAACAGGGAGTTGTGAATTCCTGAATTCCTGACCCAGCCACTTGTGCATTTTGAGTTTGCATGTTTTCCCCGTGGTCGCGTGGATTTTTCTCCGAGTCCTCCGGTTTTTCCCTCCACATTTATAAACATGCATTTAGAGTATTTGGCTGCTATAAATTTCCACATGATAAGCCACTTCATTGAGCTATCATTTGTGGCCAGGTTGCTTCTGACCTTTCCAAGTAACATAAAAAATGGTTTTAGTTAAGTATTTTGAGAAGACACTAAAATGTTGTACTGACGCTGCAGTCAGTGTTGATGGAGGTTGTGTGTCTATTGAGCGGTAGTGTAGCGGTTAGTACGCTGCGCTACAAACCCGGTGACCCGAGTTCAATTCCCCTTCACGGCCAACACCAGTGACGATTATCTGAACCGGTCATGGGTCGATTCAGCCTCAAATGAGTACCCAGTCTGGTGTGTTAACATTGCCACTGGGGGGGGGGGGCACACCAACCGTCGTAGGTGCTCGCTTAACAGTGTGCACTTGCCCCTACAGCTGTCTGTTGAAGGCTATACAGGGGATCATTGTGTGTGTGCGTGCGTGCCCGTGTGTAAACATCGCCACTATGGAGTCAAAGGCGGTCGGGCTTGGTGCTGGCCACCCGCCCCCTCATGTGCCGGGCCGTGCCGGCCTTCACAGGTGTTACTCGCTAACAGCACTTGCCCCCAAAAACAGCCTTCGTGTTTGTGTGTTGCGCCACGCTTGCGCCGGGGCGTCTGGCGAACCGCGCAGTGGCAGCGCGCAGCGTGCGTGCGCAGGCTGGCGTCCGAGATCCTGGACGGCTGCCACCCACGACTCGCAGCGCCGACCCACCCCGCGGAGCCACTCGGCACGCGGCGCGTCATGGCGTGGTGCCGCCAACGCGGTTACACGCCGCCCGACCCGGCCACGGCCGGGGAGAGCCAGGAGAGCCTGCTCGAGGAGATCCTCACCCAGATAGACTCCGAGCCAGGTTGGTGCCGTCGCATCGTCAACCGTCGTCGCCGTGTACGTGCGTGGTGAACTTCTGCCCCGTACGTACGTGGCCAACCGCGCTAACCGGACGTGCGGGGGAAGGACAACAAACTAAAACGCAAAAGGCAGTTTTAAAGAAATTAGTTGGGAGTGAAATTGGATGAGTCGTCGTCGTCAGCCATGATCAGCGGTCGGCAAATCTGCGGTTCCGGAGCCGCATGCGGCTCTTTGAGGACTGCATTGCGGCTCTTGAAATATTGAGGAGTTTTTTTTTATACGAATTCGACAAAAATGGCTCGTTGCTTTGGTTGCCGACGCTCTAACCACGGGAGTCCAGTTTAACACTGCACCTGAAATGAGTTAAATGATGACGTCACCCTGCTGCTCTATTTAAGACCGGGAGCAAGCGAGGGCTTTACCATTCTGGCGAATTGCCCGATGATGCTGGATGTAATTACCAGCGAAACGTCGTACTCAAACTGTAAATGTTGTGGATTCACTCTTCAACACACCGGTGGGCTAAAGTAGTGAACTATTTGTCTTTTGTCAACGTGACACTTTATTTTGCTGATTTGCCGTGTCGGGTGGTGGAGGGTTATGACACATTTATAAATAACGCGATCTAAGCCAAAAACCTTTTTTATGAACATGGGAGTCCAGTTGACCAACGAAGTCCATTTTACCATGGGAGTCCAGTTTACCATGGGCAGGAGTCAGAAACCTGTGGCTTTGTAAGGACTGCTTCTTGACGTTATTTATTAAGGACCATTGAGGCTTTTTTTTTTAATACAGAATTTGAAAAAAAATTCCTCTTATTATGTTGGTTGCCGACCCGTGGCCATAATCGATCCACTGCTGGTTGAAGGCGTCTCCTCCCAAGTCGTTGTCGTCTCTCACGGTGCTGCGATGCAGCCAATTGACCCGAGCACCCACACGCCAGCTGATTTCATCGCTCCGTCTCCCCGGCGGACGTCGCCATTCTAGACCACCGGCTATCGTCGTTTCCCGCCATGACGAAGCCCACTTCTATATTTTGAATCGAATCTTGAATCTTTTCAAACCTACGCGTTCCCTGTCATGCAGGTTAATTTCGTGGCTTCGTTTTAGAAAACGCATAACGTGATTCTCGAGGGAGTCGACAGTATGGATGGCTGGGAGTTACGGCATGCTCCGCCGTGGGGAGAATCCCTCCCCAGGGTCGCCGATGGAACCTAACCCCCCCCCCCCCCCCCGTATATCGTTTGTAATCTCACTGCCGCTGCATTTGTCTTTCCGCCGTCAATTGACCTCGCTCAGAGGTACCGAGCTCCCTGTCGTGCGCCTCGGACCTGCACCGCCGCCTGGAGGAGCTGGAGGCTCGGCTAAGCGGCGCAGAGGCACTGGCGGAAGATGACGAGGAAGACGCAGAGGTGTGCAGAGTTCGTCACGGGTGAAAGCGCAACGCGTCCGTGCGTGCCAGGGGCCCAACGCTCTCTCCGCCATACAGAAGGGACAGATAAACTATTAAACTAAAACATATTTTTTTCGTTTGAACAGGTAAGGCCCACTGAGCTACATAGCTCCTTTTTCAGAGGCGACCTGGCCACAAACGATAGCTCAACGCAGTCGCTTATCGGGTGGGAAGCTGCTATCGCAGCCGAGTACTCTAAACGCACGTTTCTGAAACGTGGAGGGAAAAACCGGAGGACCCGGAGATTAATCCACACGGCCACGGGAGGAGAGAGACACGCAAACTCTAAATATACGGCAGGGGTCTGCATCGAACCCACGACCTCCTGCACACCAGGCGAGGTCGTTAACATTTCGCCACCGCGGTGGCGCCAGCATTATCCGTCCTCACGTTTGCTGTTACCGCCTTTTGACGAAACGCTCTCCCGCGCCGGGCCGGCGGCGGCGTGTGGGCAGGTGGACGTGGTGGAGGTGACGGGAGACGAGTCGCGGGCGGCGGTGCGGGTCAAGCGAGAGGTGAAGCAGGAACCGGGGGCGCGCGCCGGCCACCCTCACGAGGGTGACGCGAGGCTCTTTCTGGGCTCCGGGCCGGCCGAGGAGTTTGTCCGGGAGAGCGCGCGAGAGGTGAGCGTGGGCACTCCTCCACCCCTAAGTCCATCTGGGGCTCATCCTCCTCGTTTCGTCCGACGCGGCTTTTTGAGTAGCCAATCGTTGCTTGGCCCTGGCGATGGGTAGTTGTTGGCGCGCTGGGCTCTGATGCACTGGCAATGGACTGTGAAATCAAGAGTTCGCCAGTGTTGATCTCCCGGCGTTGCAGCTGAAACGGTGGGTAGATTTTTTTTTTTTAATATTCCCTCGCCTTTGTCCACCCAGCGATTGGCGGGTCGTGTGCGGTGGGCTAAAGTGTGGGTAGCTCTTCCAAGACGTCTCCCCAGCACGGAATAGGACAAAATATTCCCGAAAGGGGCTTTCTAGGCCTTCCTACAGTGGAGGCCCTTCCAGCCGTGTCATGGGCGAGACATCGCAGGGCTGTGCGCAATCACCCTGACCCTCAACCCATTTGACAGATGTACATCCTGTTCACGTGGGCGATGCTTGCGTTCCACGTTACCCTGTGTGATTTGCAGATCGGGATCAACTTGGCTCCAACGGAGGTGGACAAAAACGTGTTCGCCCCTCTGGTGGAGACGATGATCATGAAGGTGCGGTGCCAACACGCCGCCCGCGGCATTTGCCGTGGGCGCGCTTCACCCACCACCGCCGCTAACGATCACACGCGCACACACCGTCGCGCACCTTGCGCGTGTGTGCTTGGCTCGTCGCTAACCGGCCCCCGTGTCTTCGCTAGGCTACGGAGCAGTTCATGAGTGACGTCATGAGAGAAGCTCTGCGCTGCGCGTACGACAGCTCTCCTCGCAACAGGTAAAAACAAAAGACAACGATCCCCCCGTATAGCCTTAACAGACCGTTGGGGCAAGTGCTGTTAGCGAGCACCTGTGAACGCCGGAGCGGCATACAAAGGGGGTGGATGTCCAATACCACGTCCGGCCGCCTTTGTTTTACCCCCCGTTGGCGAGGTTTACGACGCACCGCACCAGGTACTCGTTTAAGCCCGAGTCGACCTAGGGGAGGCCCCAGGACCAGTTCAGATAATCGTCACTGGTGTTGAGCGTGAGTGGGAATTGAACTCGGGCCGCTGGGTTCGTGGCGCAGCGCGCTAAACCGCTCCCAACAAACACGCACACGCGTGCCCTCTTTCATGTGGGTTCGTTACAGGGCGGTTATATTTATGCGTTTACAATACATAGGAACGATAGCACAGTGGTTTGTGCATTGCCGTGTAAATTGGGTGACCTAAGTTTGATTCCCGGCCTCGGCAACGTCGGTGGCGAGTGATAGCTGAGCTTTGCTTAACGTCAACGCTAGAAAGACAAAGGTGGCCGGGCATGGTGCTGACCCCTTCCACCCGCTCGAGTGCCATACCAACCTTATGAGGTGCTCGCTAATGGTGCACTTACTCCCTACAGCTGCCCGTTAAAGGTTATACGGGGGATCCTTGTTGCGTGTGTGTGCGTGTGCGTGCGTGCCCGTGTGTAAACGGTGTGTAAACATCGTCACTAGGGAGACAAAGGTGGTCGCGCGTCGTGCTAGCCACCAAACCCCTCGTTTTTCCGTGCCGGCCTTGACCTGACCCTACTATAATTGTGTGAAAAAGAGCTTGATAGCTCATCGGATTCCCCACAGTGTGAATAAATATTCTGATTCTGATAGACGCTCGCTAACGGCACTCGTTCCTACGGGGGACCTCCGTCTTTGTTGTGCCCGTGTGTGTGTGTGTGCAGGCCTCCGAGAGAGCTGTGTGTTCAGCACCTGCAGCAAGCACTCTGCTCGCTCCCCACTTGCGACTTCGTCACCAACAAGAACCTGGGCGTCATGCTGCAGCCCAAGCAGCAGGAGCCGTAGTACCAGCGGTCGGCACCGGCGTGAGGAGGCCTTCATCCAGCAGCGGATTTATCTTAACTGGTGACGGTGATGAGCAGTCTCGGCTTGTGCACGTTCGCTTCCTTCTAGACCTCACAACCGACTGCTGTTAGCAGTTGAACGCGGACTCTGGGCACTGACCCCTCTCCATACGTCTCCATGTATCTGTGTACGTTGAACTTCACTCGCACCGTACGTGAGCCAACCGCGCTAATCGGAGGTGCGGGTGTAATCGGCGGTGCATCGCCAAGTCCCCCTCCTTTAATTTGTAAAAGAAAATAATTAGCATTACCCATGTACGTATGTCGATTGAAGGACGTGGACCGCGCAGCCGTGTCCACCAACCACTACCGACAACCAGACCATAGTCGCGGATAAACACAATGTGAAATTTCTGAAGCATTTCAAAATTCGCACCCTTGGCAGCAAACGCTCGGCCCGGTCAGTCAAGCCGTGGCCGGGCATGTCATTTCAGGGCCAGTTGACCTCAGCCAGGGCCGGCAAAAAGGATTGCAACAACACCAGTGCAGTCGCAAACCAGTGAGCTTCCTGCCCATCTCTGCGCAACGTCGTCAGGTTTGGGGAAAGCTACGTATCCACGACATCACGAGGTCGGTGCCAGAACGGTGTGGCACGACTGGAGCACATTGGCACAAGACAGGAAAGCGGGAAACAAAACAACGAAATGTGCAGTGTGACACCTACGTGGATCGTGACGATGACGTGTCTGCGATGCTCGGCGAGATGATGGTTTCCATACAGTGAGGGCGTTAACAGCCCCGCCCCCTCACCACCCGGCGTACTTCGGAAGTATTCCAGAGTCGCCATCCTCCGTTGTCACCTTTGGGACGACCGCCGCAGAAACGCAGCATTCCCAAGGATGCCGACGATAACGACGCCGGGCGTGTTGCACGACGCGACCATCGCGGGTTTTTTTCTTTTCTTGTTTGTAGCGGATGTGTTTCACAGTTCGTTGAAAGTAAGGTTGAGAAAGTACGTTCTAAGTCTGTTTGACACGTCGGCTTTCGCGACCAATATCATCCATAATACAGGTTTTTTGGAGAAATTCCAAATGAAACCGATCTAACCCAAAGAAACCTGTATGATGGACGTTATACGTCGTCGTGGTCACCGCCACCGTGGCGAAAGCGTCGATTGAAGCGCCCACCCCTCTTCGATGGCGTTTGGTGACCCCCCCCGTCCCCCAGCTACCATTTGATGTAGCCCCTTGGAGCACACGTGCTGACGTTCGCGATTTCAGTTGAGAGGAACGCCATGCCACCCTCCGGGGTCAGTGGTGAGTTGTGCTGGTTAGGCTTTCCCATAGCCGTCTTGGTAACCTCACATTTTTGTATAATTTTGTATGAAAATAAAGTTATTCGGAAGCAAACGTTCATGATCATGAGTTAATGTGTTGCTGGTATAATGCTTTTTTTGTTTGTTGCATTCAAACGTTTAGCTTTTTATTTAAAAAAAACTCGAGAGTTCAGTTTTTATGGGGAACGGCGGTGTAGGGGTTAGCGTGTTGCGCTACGAACCCGGCGACCCGAGTTCGATTCCCGCTCACGGCCAACACGGGTGACGTATCCCTACTGGTTCTGGGCCTCCCCTAGGTCGAATCGGCCTCAATTGAGTACCTACTGCGATGTGGAAAAACATTGCCGTGAGGGAGACAAAGGCGGCCGGGCGTGGTGCTGACCACCCACCCCCTCGTGTGCCATGCCGGCCTTCATAGATGCTCGCTAACAGCACTTGCCCCAACAGTCTGTGAAGGTTCTGCTGGGGAGGCCTTTGTGTGTGTGTGTGTGTGGAGCGGTAGTGTGCAGTGGTTAACGGTATGCGCTATGAACCCGGCCACCCGAAGTCGATTCCTGCTCACGGTCAACACCAGTGACGATTATGTGAACCGGTCATGGGCCTCCTCTAGGTCGATTCGGCCTCAAATGAGTACCTCGTCCGGTGTGTTCACATTGGCACCGAGGAGTACCATACCAACCTAAATCAATTGCGCACGTGGTTTCGTGCAGTTTTTTTTCATCTCGTCAAATTGACGTGAACACATTTGTCACAATGACACTGCGGCCTTAAAAGTAAAAAAAATACACAACGAGGCGACGCTTCTGGCAATGGCCACTCTCAACACCGCAGCAACAGCTGCAGCATCCCCGAATGATGATGTTTCATGAGACACATTAGACGCACCAAAAGTCCCGTGTTATGATTTATATATTTGTTTTTATTCTCGTTAAAATGCCGCTAATGTGTACACTTCGAAACAATGCAGGCACGGTCTATGCAGAAACGCCGCGCCTCAACGATTCCCAAGCGCTTGAGGCATCGTTGGGCTTTGCGATTGATTCCTGGAGCGCAGCAACGTCAAATGTACCCATCGAGCCCAGCGTTCTGCTTTGAAATGCCACCGCGGGGCCGCTGGGGGAGGGAGGGGGGGCGCCTGGGAGGCCTTTAACGCGGCCCCCCGACAATACACAATGAGTGAAACCCCCCCCCCCCCACCCCCATCATCATCATCGTGCTGCTGTCAAACCCACGGTGGTTTCAAATCTTTGGTGGCGGCGCATTTACTTCGCTGTTTCTTTGAAAATTAGTAAAGAACACAGAAACTACTTCTCACCTGCATCGGCAGTTGCCAGGCACTCTTTGGCATTTCGATTCATTTCCAAGCGCACCACGTTACTCGGCTCTCGCCAAATCACCCGGGGGTGTGCGCCCGGTTATCGCCAGGATCTCGCAAGCTCAGCAGGGGGGTGGTTGAACCTGGCTAGCGCTCGGGGACTGGTGGTCGACACGCGCCGACCGGTTGGCAAGACTGCAGCCGCGGGGGGGGGGGGGGGCTACGGGGCGAGCAGCCGTTGTTGTATGCTACCTCTATGCTCCCGCGTCTATGCACAATACCAGCGAGGCGACGTGTGGCCACACGATCGTCACAGCCCCGTTGATCAGCAGTGGACGAACGAAGGAGATTATTCTGGAAAGGGGTTTGGGGGATGTTTGGGAAAGAGGCCAAGAATGAGCCGTGAAACCTTCCGCTTGACAACTTAAACATCAAGGCGGTGGGGTGGTGGGGGCGGGAGTGGGGGGGGGGGTGTCGGAGAGGTGGTGGTGGGCGGCGGGGGGGGGGGGGGGGCGCACGAATGCAATAAAGAAGAAAGCTGAAGCTCGAACACGGCTGCTCGCGAGCTCGAGCGTGGCCGCACTGCCATTGTGCCGAGGAGGACCAAAACGGAGGTGGCGAGAGACGGGGCCGACATCGGCGAAACATTCCCCATACTGCCACACCCCCCCCCCCTCCCCACCGCTCTCAATTCCCCACCGCTCTCAATTCCCCACCGCTCTCAAATCCCCACCAGCTCTCAATTCCCCACCAGCTCTCAAATCCCCACCAGCTCTCTGAGAGCCGCGAGGGCACGGGCGGAGAGGGCGCCGAGCCGCTCCGCCACGGCGCCCAGGAGCGCGCCGACCGCGGCACAGCCTCCGCCGAGGGGCAGCCACTTCCCCGCGAGCTCCCGCAGGTGACAGATAGAGGCGCTCGCCTCCTCCCACAGGTAGAGGCGAGCGCCGTTCAGCGGCTCGCAGACGCAGCGGCGGGCGCGCGCCAGCGCCGACGCCGACGCCGACGCCGGAGGGTCGCGAGCGCAGCCGCACAGGAGCACCGAGGCGGCGAGCGCCAGCAGCAGCAGCAGCAGCAGCAGCGGCGGTGGCGGCGGCGGCGGCGGCGGAGCGGCGAAGGAGGACGGCCGGAGGGCCGGCCGCGGCCGCTCGGCGGCGCGCCAGATTTTCTGGATTCCGCCGGGGAGGTCGAGCGCGAAATCCCTCGTCGCGTTGCCGGCGCCGGCCAGGGCCGCCCCGCAGCGCGAAACGACGGCGGCGGCGGCGGCCGCGAATCCCGCGGGGCGGCTCGGGGGCGCTTCCTCCGGCGCCGCCGGCAGCCGCGGCACGGGGGCGTCCGCGAGGCCGCGCAGGGCCACGTCGGCCCAGTCCCTGAGCAGGTAGTCCTGGGCCCTGGGCAGCTCGGGAAGGTTCAGCGTCGCCGACGGGAGGGCCTCGCCCTGCAGGGAGGCCACCTTCTCGCGTAAGCTGCCCATCTGCTGGACGAACGTCAGCGGGTCCGTCACCTCCGCGAGGGCCGCCGCCAGAGCCAGGGCCTCCTGGCGGTCCTGGATCATCTGCCGGAGGCGGCGGATCCGCGGCGCCGTCTCGTGGTCCAGCGACGTGCCGAGCTCCCCGAGGTAGTCGAGCACGGAGAGCCGCTTCTCGCTCAGCGTCCGCTGCAGGCCCTCGAAGTAGGAGGACACGAGGAGCGCGTCGCGCGCGATGGCATCCTGCACCGCGGCCTGCACCTTCTCCAGCCTCTCGAGGCGAGAGCGAGCCAGCTGCCACCGGTCCTCCTCCTGCACGGGCGGCGAGGACACGCGGACATCGCGTCGACGTCGTTACCCCCCCCCCCATCTACCCGATCGCTGTCCAGGCTCCAAACCTGCTTGGCTTGCTAAAATCGGGCACATCCCTGGGCCGGTCGGTCGTAGGCACGCGTCTGGATTGCTCCTCGTTGTTTGGCCGGGCAGCGCTCGTCATGGTTCGAAAGATCTCACGCAGGAGCACAGCCCGAGGTGTGCTCCTGCGTTTTCAGCAGTCGGTAGGGCCACGTGGGTCGTGCCGCAAACACTGCGTAACTGCAGACTGCGGAATTCCTCGCGCGAATCCGTGCGTGCCCTTCCTTGGCGTGTGCTTGGAAGGGAGTGGAGGGGGCTGGTTTGGGGGGGGACGGGGGCTGCGAGGATGGCAAATTGTGTCTCGCCGCGGCTCTGCAATTGAACCCCAACCGCCCGAGTTCAATTCCCCGCCGTGGCTAACATCAGCGGCGAGCGACGTGGTCGTGCCGTGCGCGGGAGGAGGGGCCGCCGGCTCGGCCCAACGCTTCCCGGTGCGAGGCTCCACAGAAGCACGCCGAGGCTCACCCTCAAAGACGTTTGCGACGAGCGACCTCTGCCCCCCCGCTCCCACCTGCCCCCCCCCCACCTGCCCCCCCCCCCCACCTGCAGTGCAAGCTGCAGGGTGTGCAGCAGCGCCCGCTGGCGCTCGGCCTCCGAGTCGAGGGCGTCGATGCGGTGGCCGCGGTGGGAGCCCAGCGTGAGGCAGCGGCCGCACGCGAGGGTGCAGCAGTCGACGCACAGCACGTTGAGCGGCTCGCTCGCGTGCTCCGGGCACGGCGGCGCGGCGCCATCTCGCTCCGTCTGGCCAGCGCACGGGGGCAGCCGGGGGAGGGGGGGGAGAAGAAGGGGGGGGCATAACTTATTTATTTGGGGGGGGGGGGGGGCAGCGCTTTGTCCCTCACATTAGGAATCGTGGGTGCTTATAATTAATTTATTTTGAAGCTTCGTTGTAAACTACTGAAAATGAATGTATAGAGGTGTCCAGTTTGGGTGGGGCGTTGCCCCCCACCCCCCTGTCCGCCCATGGGGGGGTCCCCTGTGGTCCCCCCCCCCCCCGAGTTCCTAAACAACCCTGGGACTCCGCGGACGGCACTGGCTCGCGAACGTGGCACGGGGGCGACGTCGCCCGCGGGAAAGGTGAAAGCCGGCCCGGATCAATATTGATTTTTTTTTATCTTCATTTGAATGCCGGATCGTGGCCATTCTGGAACCCGCGAATTCTGCTCGCCGCTAAATGAGCCGCGGATGCCGCGCTCCTCGCCTCGTCGAGGAGCGCGAGCTATCGGGCGAGCTTCGGTCATCCTCGCAGCGGCGGCTTGTGGCCGGCCGTCGAACGAAGACGGTCACCGCATCGCGCGGCGCTTCCAGACGCGCTTTCGCGGCCCTCTGGAACGCTCTTCCTTCCGATATCAGGAAGCCACTCGCGCTGTGCACTTTTAAATTATATCGATTTGAAACTCATTAGTTCAGAAGTTATTTTTGTCTTTAGTTGGTGGTCCTTCCTCCGCACCGAGGATTAGCACGGTTGGCTACGTACGGTGCGAAAAAAGTTCAACACATGCACAGATATACATGGCAAATCGCCTGACGAACCTGGTTGTAATCACCAGCGAAACGTCGTACTCAAATTGTAAATGTTGTGGGTTTGCTCTCCAATACACCGGTGTGCTGAAAGCGGTCGCTAATCGGCACGTTTTGTTTACGTGACAAACCTTTTACTCATTGCCCTCTGTCCCGTGGTGGCGGGTTACTCGATCTTACCGCCCACCTAACAAACAAAAAACCCTAAACGTTTTATTCAGAGTACATGTGACGCGCGTGCGGCCACGTCTCTCACGGAGCCCGCCCGCTCGCTCGCTCGCCCGCTCGCTCCGAGTGTGTACGCGGTCATCGGGGGAGACCGGCGGTCTGTCCACGAACGGATCTCTCCGGCGATCGTCGCGAGCGGCGTCGTGCTCGGGGCACACCGAGGTGCGGTACTTGTCGACGATGTTGCGCAGGGAGAAGTTGACGGGCAGCGAGGTGAAGCCCGTCAGGGGCAGCTCGCACACGTGACGGCACGACGGGCACTTGAAGGGGGTCCGCAGTGGACGCCACGGGGAGAGGTGCAAGGACCCCTGCCAAGGTGTTAAATATTCCAGTGAGCGGTGACAATTATGACTCAACCTAAAAGATGAAAAACTATTTTTTCCTTAAACTATTTTTATTTTATTTTACCAGGTAAGGTCCACTGAGCTACATGGTGAACAGCAAATTAAATTGTTGTGCTGCACTTCTATGCTCCCACGTCTAAGCTCCTCGATCTCAGCAACGCGGTGAAATATTTTACTCTTACAATTTTTGTTTTACTAGGTAAGGGCCACTGAGCTACATGGTGAACAGCAAATTAAAATGTTGTGCTGCACTTCTATGCTCCCACGTCTAAGCTCCCCGCACTGAGCAACGCGGTGAAACATTTCACTCTTACAATTTTTATTTGACCAGGTAAGGGCCACTGGGCTCTGCAGCTCTTGTTCAGAAACAGCCTGGCCAGAAGTGAATTTATCGCGGCCAAATACATCTAAATATCCCAGACGCGTGTTTCTAAATGTGAAAGGTCAGCCCCTGGGAGGCGGTGAGTAGGGGGAGGGAGTCAGGCAGCAAACTTAGTTCCATTTAGTTCCATTTATTTGGTATAGCCCTGTGAGCCATTCGGCTCTTGAATCGGGTGCAACCGCAACAAACAAAAACATGAACAAGGAAACATCTTAAAGTGACTATGTGACTGTGCAAACAGAAAATCTAGGGAAAAAAACATCAAAATATTCCTGAAATAGCACAGTACACCAACGCTGTGTGCAAAAATCCCAGTGGGATGCAAGTCAAACAACAACAACAATCACATGACAACTCAGATTAAGGCCATCAGTCTAACTCCGCACTACAATCAACAAAAAACATGGCCAAGCCAAAAAAAAACGTTTTAGAAATCACCAAAATAAAGCCATAAATGCAATGTAACAGTGATCGTAGAGGGACTGTGACCGAATTTTTTTTTTACGATAAACTACATAAGCGGCTCCTCGAATCGCCAAGCGGATTTCGGCACCTGCAGGATATCCTCCAGGCAGCCGCGGCAGAACGTGTGCGAACATGGCAGCACCCGCGGGTCCTCGAACAGCGAGTAGCACACAGGGCACGTCAGCTCCTCCTCCAAGAAGTTCATGTCCCTCTGCCGCAGGGCGTGGTGGGGTCGAGCAAAGGTCGAGCGAGCACGCCTGCTGAGGACCAACCCACACGAAGACAAGCGACACGGCGGGGTGAACCCCCTCCTTCGTACGGCCTTCACAAGAGCGGCGTTGTAGTAGGGGGCCACGTAGCGGTGTTGTCCGTGGCACCGCAGCACGCACGGGGGACCGGGAGTTTAAGGGTCAAAGGCGTCGCCGACGAGTGTCGCCATCCACGCTCACACTGGAGGTATCGCTGAACATCCGTACAGCATCTCCTGCCGCATTGGATTGGTTGAAGGGCCTTAACATTCAACTATGACATCATGTATACAATCCGTGCAGCATCTCCTGCCGCCTTGGATTGGTTGAAGGGCCTTAACATTCAACTATGACATCATCTATACAATCCGTGCAGCATCTCCTGCCGCCTTGGATTGGTTGAAGGGCCTTAACATTCAACTATGACATCATCGATACAATCCATACAGCGTCTACTGCTGCCTTGGATTGGTTGAAGGGCCTTAACATTCAACTATGACATCATCGATACAATCCGTGCAGCATCTACTGCCGCCTTGGATTGGTGGAAGGGCCTTAACATTCAACTATGACATTATCAATACAATCCATACAGCATCTACTGCCGCCTTGGATTGGTTGAAGGGCCTTAACATTCAACTATGACATCATCGATACAATCCATACAGCGTCTACTGCTGCCTTGGATTGGTTGAAGGGCCTTAACATTCAACTATGACATCATCGATACAATCCATACAGCATCTACTGCTGCCTTGGACTGGTTGAAGGGCCTTAACATTCAACTATGACATCATCAATACAATTCTAGATTTGAAGCTTTCGTGACTGCAAGGATCCATTACCTTTGGTTCTATTCGGTAAAGTCACGTAGGTAAAAATAAAGGACGCGACCTGGGCTTGGCTGTCTTCACTCCAACGCTGTCCTCTGGACAGTCCGGTCCCTTCACCTGATGAAGGCCACTTGTGTTGTGGCCGAAACGTCGTGATTTTTTTATTTTTATTTTTTTTGTTATTTTATTTTTACCTACGTGACTTTACCGAATAGAACCAAAGAGTATCATCTATACAATCCATGCAGCAACTACTGCCGCCTTGGATTGGTTGAAGGGCCTTAACATTCAACTATGACATCATCTATGCAATCCGTACAGCATCTACTGCTGCCTTGGATTGGTTGAAGGGCCTTAACATTCAACTATGACATCATCTATACAATCCATGCAGCATCTACTGCCGCCTTGGATTGGTTGAAGGGCCTTAACATTCAACTATGACATCATCTATACAATCCGTGCAGCATCTCCTGCCGCCTTGGATTGGTTGAAGGGCCTTAACATTCAACTATGACATCATCTATACAATCCATGCAGCATCTACTGCTGCCTTGGATTGGTTGAAGGGCCTTAACATTCAACTATGACATCATCTATACAATCCACTCACAGCGTCTCCTGCTGCCTTGGATTGGTTGAAGGACCTTAACATTCAACTATGACATCATCTATACAATCCATGCAGCATCTACTGCTGCCTTGGATTGGTTGAAGGACCTTGACATTCAACTATGACATCATCGATACAATCCGTACAGCATCTACTGCCGCCTTGGATTGGTTGAAGGGCCTTAACATTCAACTATGACATCATCGATACAAACTGTTGCTTACATGCCATACAAAAGAATTAGAAGACGACTACAATCGACGGATGATGCCGATGGCGTCACGAAGCCCGGCCCATCACCTCCCGTCCAGCGGCACACTTTCCCCTATTCATACGATCAGTCGTGTAATCCAACCGATAAATTAATAAATTGAGCTATGTAACTTTTTTTTTAAGAAGCGACCTGGCTATTACAAACGAGAGGGGAGGGGGTTCACAGTGGGGGTGGCGACATCGAAGTCACGTGATTTACGGAATACTTTAGCTGATTTAGATTATGTTTAGAGCAGTGGTTCTTAACATTTACTGCAGCATGCACCCACCCTTTTGGTTTTTAATCGTATTTTTTGTTTGTTACAATGTTAACACAAAGGGTTTGATGAAACTATGCAGTGCCCGTGCTTATTTTTCCTTTTCGATTATTTACCTCCTAAGAAGAGTTTGCATGTCTCGCACCCACAGAAAGGGCATCGCGCACCCCCAGGTTAAGAGCCACTGGTCTCGAGGGACATCGGTGAGAGGGATTCAGAGTTGGGGGTGGACACACAGAAGTCACGTGTTGTACTGGAGGCTTGCCCAGATGTGACAGGAAGTTACGCTAACGTGTTCCTGTTGGCAGCATTGAAATGCACGTACGCTGGGACTTCTTTCGCACCGTGCGTAGCCAACCGTGCTGACCGGAGGTGCGATTAGCACTGTAGTTTCACACTAAACTCTGCTCCCAAAGTCACCGTCACCATCATCGTCACCTTCAGATCGCGGCTGCCGCAGGGCAGCCGCGATCTGACCAACCGCAGCACTCGCTGTTCCTCAAGAGTGCAGCAGCTGCAGTGATGATGAAGATGATGAAGATGCGTGTGTGTTGAACTTCTTTCGCACCGTACGTAGCCAACCGTGCTCATCGGAGGTGCTGGGGGAAGGACAACAAACTAAACACAAAAAAGCAGTTCTAGAGAAATGCGTGTTCAACCTATAGATTATTTAAGAGTGCAGAGCTCCCAGTGACTTCCTAACATCGGAAGGAAGAGCGTTCCAGACGGCTGCAGAAGCGCGTCTGAAAGCGCGCGATGCGGTGACCGCCGTTGTTCGATGGCCAAACCAAAAGCCGCTGCGACGGTGACCGAAGTTCGCGTGATGGTTTCTACTCCTGGACGAGATCATCAATGCATTGTGCTTCATTTGTGGCAAGCACTTCGTTTACAATGAGCGCGACCTCATAACGCCGCACTCGTTCGGCAACCGGGAGCCAAACCGAGTGGAGCGAGAAAGCAGAATCGGACGGAGCCTGTGGCCGCTGAACCTGGGCACGCATTCAATCGCTCCACCGCCCGGTAAAGCCAGACAGACACCACTGCCAGCCAGCACAGCAGCGCCTTGCGTCCCACCAAGACACCACCGAGACGGATTCACTGTGGGCCGCATTCTGTCTCTCTCTCTCCCTCTGATGTTGGGAAGCCACTGGGAGCTAAGCGCTTTGAAATCTAGATGGAAAACCCATTCCTTTGGAGCTGCTTTTTTGTGTGTTTAGATTGTTGTCCTTGCCCCGCACCTCCGATTAGCGCGGTTGGCTACGTACGGCGCGAAAGAAGTTCAACGTGCATCAGCTCTCTGATCTGTTTGCTGGCTGCACCGCGTGTCGTTCGGAATTATGTCCGACGTTTCGCTCCGCGGAGTGTAAGCTTGTTCAGCAATGGGACGTGGAAGCTCATAAGCACAAATTGTAACGTTACCATGATCTGGGGCTCTTACAGTATTATTTGATGAATCGGGTTCCTGACGATGGCTCCCACACAGCACGTGCAGCGAAACGTCGGACACAACGTCGAAGCACACGCGGTAGCAACCCTAGAGAGATAACACGTCGGTCGGTGGACCTATACAGAATCGGAATATTTATTTGTACTCGAGGAACCCGATGAGCTATAAAGCTCTTTTTTCACAGATGTCCAGGAGGGGCAGGTCTTAACGCTTCAACAACAAACGACACGAACACACGACAGGATTTCAAAGTATGGGAAAGGTAATTAATATCACGGACCAAAAATATACAAATATAAAACTAAGCGCCTTTTGGCGTCCTCTGGTCTAACACCGTTTTGAGACGAGGCTCAAAAGAAAGCTGTCTCTGGTGTGGACCAATCAGTTTCAAAGACAATGCATAAATTATCAGAGTATGTTTTTTGTTTGCATTCTGACCACAAGTATTGTGGTTAATGCAGACATGATTCCTTGTAAAAGGTTTCAGTTTGGTGTTTTAACATCTTAACACGTGTTTTGTTGCCAGAAAAAAAGGGGAAAACCTATTCTCAAAACTAAGCGATGTATTTTTTTTTACTTATCAGGTAAAGTCCACTTGAGCTATTTGCTTATTTTTCAGAAGCGTTCCTGCCCACAAACGACAGCTCAACAAAGGTGGCTGATCATCATCACGCGGACATTTATAGCGGACAAAACAACAACAATCCAAACGCGCAACCCCGCGATTCGCGAGCCGACGCGGCCAAAAACAAAACAAAAAGCTGACGATTGTTTAATTCTTTACGCCTGAAATTCGGTGACAAATTTGTATTCTCACACCATCACAGCCCGCACGGCAAATCACCACCCCCAGAGGGGGGCCAGGTTAGGGCATCTCGGCAAGACCACAGGCCCTCCGAAACCACTGTCGCTCTGCGCCGCTGTAATCCAAGTCACCGTCCGTGCAGGCCCCATCACTGAACTTACCCTGCCGATGTGTCCGCCTCTTTGTCAAGTGGCAACAGAGCAGCCGGCCTGGGGACTGCGAGACGGAGAATGCAATCGACGCAGCTGTCTCGTGAATCTCATAACAGACAGCGCGCACAAAAGGCAAAGATGCCCCGTATAGCCTTGAACAGACTGTTGGGGCAAGTGCTGTTAGCGAGCGCCTATGAAGGCCGGTACGTGGCACACTAGGGGGTGGGTGGCCAGGACCGCGCGCACGCACACGCACGCGTGCGTGAGTTCGTCCAGCGAAGAATTAGAGGGGGTGGCTCCTAGCCCGGACCGCGGCACGTCGGTGGGACATGTCACAGCAAGCGACGCTTTCGCGACAAGCTATAAATTATCGGCACTCGCGGTATTTTATTAAGTGTTCAGCACTCGCGGCGCGCTGCGAGAAGCACGTGGATTTGCCTCGGCCAACCGTTCCCCTTTGACTGACACACGGCGACGGGAGATCGTGGAGGCTCTTGCGCGTTCGCGCGCGCACTACCGACAAAGACAAAGATTCCCCGTGTAGCCTTAAACAGACTGTTGGGGCAAGTGCTGTCAGCGAGCAACCATGAAGGCCGGCACGGCGCACACACGAGGCGGTGGGTGGCCAGCACCGCGCCCGGCCGCCTTTGTCTCCCCAGTGGCGATGTTCACACGCCACACCGGGTACTCATTTGAGTCTGAGTTGACCTAGATTGAGGCCCAGGACCGCTTCAGATAATCGTCACCGGTTTTGGCCGTGAGCGGGAATCGAACCCGGGTCGCCGGGTTCGTCGCGCGGCGTGCTCGCCATTCGTCGACGACACCGCGGGCCCTAAGAGGAACAGTCGCGTAAATATTGGGGGAC